AAAAGAAAACCTATTGAAACGCATTGAAACCTGTTCAATGCGTTCCAGTGGGGTAAAAACCGTCCAGCGAAGATCATCCATATGGCAGCCATTTTCGCTGCCTGTATAGTGAGGAATCCGTCCCTAAACACAGCAGGGAGCCATTTTAATTACCTGGTGGCCATTTTGAAACTGCTGATCAGCAGTTAGAAAAACGTCGTTTTGCGAAGAATCGGTTCCTGAAGCAGGGAACCGATCATCGCAAAGTGAAATTCCCTCATTTAGACCATCGCTTTGCGATCGCAAAAAGATCATCGTTAAGCAGATGCATCGTAATGTGGGGCAATCGTAAAGAAAGGCATCACTGTATTTTGTGCTTTTCTACCTGTACAAATCAGTATTTAGATAAAGCCTTGCTAGTTGTCTAGGATTCAGGTTTGCACGTCTTTGCGTTTATGAGTTTTTTATACTCTCCTGAACAGATACTGGAGACAGGAAAAGATGTCAAGGGGACAGTCCACATCTAAAGGGAGGGGAAAGCATTTAGAACCCAAAGTGCCCCAGCTAAAGCACCAGATTAGACTTCTGTCTTGCAGGGGACAATATGATGCTCAATATGATGTTTACCCCCAAATACTCCAAACAGACATATCTGGTATTTTCAGTTTCAACAGATTTTGAAAGCTCAGCCGAGGGAGCCGAACCTTTGAAAACATCAGAGCATCAGTCAGAGGAAGGCAAGAGCATTCCCTCAGCACACCGACAGGCCAAGAAAACGCTCGCGGGTGATGCAGGGAGACGACACCCAAATTTAAAGCAAAGTGTAGACCAAACCAGCGCAAACAAGTATCGCTATGCCTGCGATCGGTGCGATAAAGAGTTTCAGTGGTTCTCTCTCTTTGCCCGACATAAAAATGCACATCCCGGCCGTAAAGCTTCTAGACAAAGCTGTAGACAGGGCCAAAAGCAAGCAGCAAGATGCAGCTCAAATCCGTTGACGCCTGTCTCCTCACCTCTGCAGACACAGAACCTGTTTGCCGACGGGAAGGGAGGAGCTCAGCAGAGTGCAGTACGAGGGGCAAACCAGAACAAGCAGACCAAGAAGCTGCTTGTCTGCATTTGGTGTGGGAGAAACTTCCGGTGGCCCTCTCACCTTGCCCGACATTATCAAGTTGAGTGTTACAGAAATAAAGGAGGTAGACGGTGCCGGAAACAGCTAGAAGTGAACGATCAAAGTTCGGCGTCCTCTGAACCAGCACCCCTTGAAGCTGAAGAGATCACTGCAGACACTGGTGAAAGCTCGCACGAGGGGTCAACACCCATAACAGATCAGACAGCCAACGCTGAGAACCTGTACATTTGTGAACAGTGTGGGCTGGATTTTCAGCGGTCTTCTGATCTTGATCAACATCAGCTCGTTCACTCTAGGAGGAAAACAGTAAGACATAGTGTGTGCCAACTGGAAGCATGCTGCCCACGCCCCCCAGTGCCTGCCCTCTGGCATGATGAGAAAGGGGTTGTCTGTGACCCATGCGGGACCATTAGACCAAACCAAGACCCAGCGAATGAAGACAAGCGGAGTCCACGGGCACCTGTCTCTTTACCACCAAAGGCGGAGACTATGTATGTAGACACATCGGGCCGGAAATCAGAACTAATGACAGACCAGATCACCCATGCCAAGGATCTATCACTCTGTGAACAGTGTGGGAAGGGCTTCCGATATCCCTCTGTGCTTGCCCGGCACCAGCGGGTACATTTTGCCAAAGAAAAAGCTAGACAGCATCAATGCCACTCAAAGGGAATGAGACCAAATCCTCGGAAAGCTAGCCCTACACCCCTGCAAATGGATGGGGCATTTGGAAATTCCCACAAAAGTTTCAGGCAAAATTCCCAGTTGGTGCCTGGCCAAACAACCTCTGTCAAGAAGCCTCACATTTGTGGTCAGTGTGGGAAGGGCTTCCGCTACCCTTCTGATCTTGCCCGGCATGAACCCACTCATTCTAGGAGAAAAAAAGATACCAAGATGAGCCCGCCCGGCAGTCTAAGAACAACAGAGCAGAAGTCTAAGCTCCCAACCTCCTACCTCTGCGACGAGTGTGGGCAGCAGTTCCAGTTTCTTTCCGACTTCACCGAGCATGTGTATACCCACTCTGTGAAGAGACCCTATAGCTGTGCCATTTGTGGGTGCCAGTTTAAGCGCTATGTGCAGCTGAAGAAACATGAAAAATGGCATGAGATGAGTGAAGAAGAAGAAGAGGAGGAAGAAGAGGAAGGAGGAGGTGAAGCAGAAGTAGTAGTAGAAAAAGATGATGATGATGATGATTGGGTGGCAGTGAAGGACGAAGACGAGAAGACATACCAAGGTGTATATGAGGAAGATGTCCCTACAGAGAACGCTCCCAAAAAGCAGCTGCGGTACTATTCCCCGATGGCGTCTGCAGCGCACAACAAACCTTTTGGCAGTTTGGGAGGTTGTGAATGTGGCGTATGCCATAAAGAAACGAGCAGCAGATCTGAGCTGCGTCCCCCGAACAGTGTGTGGGAAATAGGAGTCAACGGGCTCCCCAGTCTTTTATCACTCCCACAGACTTGTGAGTGTGGATACTGTGAAAGCTTTGGGGACAGTACTTCTCATGCGCATCTCACCAACGTGCCTCCCCTCAGTACAGGCATCGCAGCCAGGTGTGAGTTGGCATCGGCTCAGCGTTCCTGCGAGAGTGTCCCTGACAGGGCCGCTGTCCGGAGCTCCTCAGAGGGAGCCCACAAGAATGTGGCTTCCACGTGGAGGAAAAAGGTCGCAGAAGACAAGCCTTTTGCTTGCCCTGTGTGCCCCAAGAGCTTCAGCCAACCTTCATACCTGGCTAAGCACCTGGATGTCCACTCAACAGGGAAGCCTTACCAGTGTGCCACCTGTAAGAAGCGCTTTGCCCGGCGCTCGTATCTCTTCAAACACCGGCGGGTGCACACCGTGAACCTGACGCACGAATGCCCAGAGTGTGGCAGCTACTTCACTCAAGTTTCCTACCTGCGCAAGCACATGGACATGCACAGGCGCAAGCGTATGCACAAGCACAGAAGGTAGAAACAGACACGAGTTAAGTAGCCTGCCCGTGCGCTGGTTTTGAGGGATTGTTAAAAGACACGACACTGTCAGTGTGGATAGCTCAGTTGTTTAGATCTCTGGCTGTGGAGACAAAGGTTAGGAGTCCGATTCAGCCCCCCCCACCGGTGCCTCCCTGATAGAGGCTGGACTCACTGATCCACAGGGTCCATTCCAGCTCTCCATTTGCAAAACTATTATATTTAGTTTTAATATTACATTGGAATTTTTTTTAAATACAGAACATGTACAGTATTGGGATTTTCTGCCTTGAGCACTGACTTGTCTTCAGTTGCTCCTGAAGTTTTAGATCCTGGATTTGATGGTTTTAGAGAGGGAAGGACAAGAGAGAGTATCATCAGGAGTTTTTCCAGGTTGGACAAAAGCTGCTTAGTGGCATAATAAACATGCATAGCATGTGGCACTACCATATGCAATACTCTAATCCTGCCCGTCTGCCCCAGATTCGTACCGTGAAGACATCACTGCTCAAAGCCATCCCACATCAGTATCCAAAGTGGCAAAGCAGAGGTTATCTGTGTTGCACTAAGAACAATCACGTCAACTCCATGGCGCCTTGAGTCCTTTTTTTAAAAAAAATGTGATTGCTGTGGTGTGAACTTCTGAGGTCTTTTCCCACTTTCCCCCCTGGTAGATTATTCAGGTGTTCCTAATAATGTCCAAGGTGCATCTCCAAACACAGACACACACCCCACTTCCTTTCATGCTGGTTCTGCTCTCTGCCATTAAGCTTCAGGTCCTCTTGTTATCCCCTGATCCTTTGGCTGTTTTTTCCCCCACTCCCAAGTGGGGAGAAGCAAGCTGCATAATACTTTTTTAAAATACAGCACACCTATCTTCTGCATGTTTGAAAATACAGACCCTTCTTTGATTTTACCCAAGAACTGCAGAGCTGGAAAGGACCAGCTTCTGTCAAGTAGGCGCAGTGGGGAATTAACTCCCAACCTCCAGTTTCACAGCCAAAAATTACTGGGCTATCCAGCAGTTCTTGATGAGTTCTAGGAAGAGGGCTCAGTTCCACAGAACCGGCTCCCAAACCCATTTCCATTCCTTCCTGATACAGGGTAAACAAATGATTGCCTAAACCCAATTTCTAGCTGCAAAGGGAGTAGGCCCACTGGACTAATAGGGTATCTTGAAGGATTGACTTACCACCCAGGAGTTAATTTAATGGGCCTGCTCTAAGTGGGACTAACACTTTGATGTAGACTTATGTCAACAATGGCATTGTAGGCAGACCCACCAGGTTATAAGCCCCACTTTAAAATATATCCTTGGATCTTGTGGTTCTGCCCATAAAAAGCAAGACTTCCCTTCTTGGACAATACATGAAGAGAACATACAGGCCTTTCCAAGCCCAGGTAAAGCCAGCCACCAGCCATGGTTAAGAGGAAGAGGACTCCTTTCTTCAGTTTCTAAAATCTGTGGTTTATCATATGGAAGGAATTGTTATTAATAGGGCTCATTCCAGGCCTAAAGATTTATGCCCAGTTTGTGGCTAGGATTCACTTTTAGGTTTTGAATTTGGAAGTTGGGGCGAAACCGAAAAGTGAGGAGGGCTAGTGGCGGGTAGGATGCTCACGGGAGAAATCGATGTAGAATAGCCAGAATCAAACTGCATGTTTAATATCTTTTAAACATATTAGTCTGTTTATACTTGTTGAGTTTTATCAAAGATTAAATAAATGTAATTTTAGAAAACAGTGCTGAGTTCTTCTGAATTATGTCTCTGCCTGTACCGTTACCACTCTTAGTGGTAGTGGAATGTGGGACATGGCCTGCATGTTTTCATTATGAGTTGCTGTTTGGACTACAGTTCCCAGGGGATCTTGCAGATTTCTAAAGAAGTAGGACTTACAAATGAGAAATCTCTTGTCTTTCAAAAGAATGCTGAACCATCAAGGGAAGAGTCCAATGGCAATGTACTGTATTCCTTTTGGTTGACCGGATTTGGAAGTGTGTTTTGGAGGGGAAATCTGATTTCCTCTATTGTAATGAAGCTGAAAATGTCAAATGGGATTTAAAATTGTGGTTGAATTTTGTGAATAAGTGCTTCTGAGCACTATTTTTCATCTTTGATTTAATAAAACTGCCTTTGATATACGCTTTGAAGAAGTGTTCTTTTTGAACGTACTGAATAAACTTGAAGTTATTACTGATGCACATTAATTTTTCAAATATACACAATTCAATATCTCAAGAAGTCTCTGTGTCTGTTCGTTCAGATTTCCAGCGCTTGAGAGAATATGCATTTAATCACTGTCACTCTTGCCTTTTGAGTGATAAGGCAACATCTGAATAAATGTACATAGCTTTGCTCTGCAAGTGCAGTAGGACTATTGTATCCATGGAATCAGTATCTGCTGATTGACTTATCCATGGTTTGAATATATTAAAAAATTTAAAAGAAAAATCCCAGAAATCTATTTCTAAAGGTGAATTTATCAGAACTAGCCACTAGAGGGAGCCAGAGACCACGCTAAGGTCTTTTGCTATAGAAATATATTTTCATGATGTCGTTATCAGAACTGACCATGAGAGGGAGCTAGCGCTATGTACAGAATTTGCAGTACAGTACAGTAATCCATATTTTTCACCATGGGGTGGGGAACGATCAGCAATGGATATGGGGGTCCTACTTTATTGTCAATTACTAGAAAAACCTCAGGAGCAAGAGAGAGAATTTCTGCATTTAGACACTGGTTTCATTGCCCTGAATAGTTTTGTGTCCCTCCTTATGATCAGAGGAGAAAAAAACTATACAAAGATAAATGCAAAAATGCAGGCTTGATATAACCCTTGTGACAAACCCCCCAAAACTGTGAAAGACTACACTTGAGCATTGTTTGTCATTACCCTGTTTTCACGAAAATAAGATCTAACCTGAAAATAAGCCCTAGTATGGTTTTTCAGGATGCTCGTAATATACTAAGCCCTATCCCAAAAATAAGCCCCAGTTAAGTGAAACCCTGCCCTCCGCCCTTGTGCAGCAACCAGAAGACATGACCGTCGTTTGAATAAATGTAGATGGCTGTAGATGAAAAAAAAGCCCTGAAAATAAGCCCTAATGCATTTTTGGAGCAAAATAATAATAATAATAATAAGACCCTGTCTTATTTTCAGGGCAACATGGTATACAATCTTCCTCTTTGGGCTGGTTGCTGATATACTCTTACGTGGCCATATAGACTGAGGTATTGAAAAGACCTGGCCACCTAATGTTTGGCACATAGCTTGGAAGAATTTTTGTGTAAGTAACTAGTTATAAGTCGTGCCTTTGTTCCACAGCTAGTGGTGAAGGCCTCTGGGGGTTTTAATCCAAGAAGATCTGAGGACCCTAGACCGTTTGGCCTACCCGTTGCACTTTGCACCACCTGTTGGATGACAGCCATCCTGTCTTTCTGCTTGTATGCTACTCAGCCTGTCCTGGACCACTTGAACTTGTCTGCTCCATCAGGTGTGGTGTTGGACACTGACCCACCACGAGAATTCACCGAATAGTCAACTGCAAGCCTGTGAGAAATGGGGCTGGGGAGTCTTCTTTGCAAAATGCTTCAGGACTGCCCAGATGAAAGGGCGCAGGAAGTCCAATTCTGCTTTGCTTCCTGTGGCTCACAGCACGACAGAGGAGTCTTCCTCTTTATAAAATGCTTCAGGACTGCCCCGATGAAAGGGCGCAGGAAGTCCAATTCTGTTTTGCTTCCTGTGGCTCACAGCACGACAGACTATTTCCTAAAATACTTGATCCTCCGTGCTATGGGACAAACGACATCCTTTTCTTATTTTCAGTGAGAAGTGCAATAAAAAAGGTCCCTGGTTCACAACCAATTAAGCTACTCTTTATAAAATGCTTCAGGACTGCCCCGATGAAAGGGCGCAGGAAGTCCAATTCTGTTTTGCTTCCTGTGGCTCACAGCACGACAGACTATTTCCTAAAATACTTGATCCTCCGTGCTATGGGACAAACGACATCCTTTTCTTATTTTCAGTGAGAAGTGCAATAAAAAAGGTCCCTGGTTCACAACCAATTAAGCTAGTTGGTACCACCCTGAGGCAGTGGAGGAAATTATGCTACTTATGGCTGTAGGCAGGGTTGTTATTGTTCCCCTATATTGTTTCTATAAAAAACACAGAAGGAACCTTTAAATAAATTCAGTGCAGAAATGTTTTCAAAAATATTTCTGCCGAAGTATCAAAAAATTACAGACTACAGTATGTTGTTACTAGGCATAAAATACAGGCTTCTGAGATACTTGGCTTTTAAAAACAAGAAAGGGGAAAAAGATTGATTCTATGGTGATGAAGTGAGATGAATCTGTGGTTTGGAACAGGCCTTGAGTGCAATTCATAACTCTGCAAACACCAGGAATAGTAAATGCTCTAGAACACTGTAAATCCTGAAGCAACAATTGGTTAGCTGGTCATATCCTCTTTGCCAATGATCTGACTTGGTAAATAAGGCAGCTTCTTGTGTTCCTCTGAAGTACATAGCGATCTTAGCCTTAGCAGACAACGTGCTGCTCGAGGCAGCCTGTAGATGGTGCTGACCATAAGGAAGCAGAGAATCAATTTGCCGGTGGACTTAAAAAAAAAATAGCTGCATACTCTAAGTGAATTGGTAAGTAAAAGAATTCCGAGAATCAGGATGCCAACGTGCAAATATATAAACTTGTGCATATTCTAGGTGACATTTTCATTACAAAAATTCCATGCACATGTAAGAATAGGAAGGGGTGAATTGCACCATCTCTTGGGAGCAAAATTTTATGATGTTTGTTTTTTTCAGCTGGTTAAAAATCCAGGAGACAAAAGTGTCTGTCTCAAGTTACATAAAAACATTCCATGCTGCTGGCCAGTGGGCAGCCATATTGAAAAAGCAAGTGGGATCAGACATGGTGACTGACATGTCACAGAGAACTTCATGAGGTCACAATTCTCACCATAAACTATATCCCCAAGCCATTGCTAGGCCTGGCTCAGAGCAGGCCGTTTCCTACCCAGGAAGAACACGCACAAGAGGGTACCAGGCAGGGACCAAGCCATCTGCTACCTCAGGTAAGCTCCACCTCAAATGAAACTAGCCACCGTTGATGGGGAAGGTGTAACTGTTTTCCTGCACTAGGCTGAAGTTCCAGGATGAGAGCCACAGGTTTTCTATCACCTGGCCCGATTTCAAGGCCAAACTGTTCTCTGTTTTTGAGCACGATAGATCGTTCCAGAACATCATTGCATTTATGTTTTATTATGCTGGTATTTGTTTTTTATATTAATGCTGATGTTTTGGTTTATTGTGTAGAGGTTTTTTTTTTGGTTATTCACTATTTTAAATAAAGGACCATGGCTTTTGTTTTTTTCTAAAAATTTAACATGCAAGTTAGTGTTTTCGGCCACAGTCCATGCCTTTAGATCTGCCCACGGTAGGGTAGCTCTCAGGCTGCTGATGAATCTGAAAAATGGCTGGCATCACTCACCTCTGCTTTCATCTTTGAGTGGAAGAGGGAGATGTTCAAGCAGTTGCAGTGTGTGCAAGTTTGTGTGAGTGTGAGCATGAATGATACAGAGGAGGTACACGGAGGAGATGGCCATGCTGTCAAGGCTTCATGACTTTGGATGCCACTGCTGTTAACTTTCTAGCTACTGGTGGGGACGTGGGGAGTTGGGGAAAGTCTCGGTGTCAACTTGAGTACTTTTCCTCCCTTTCCCCACAAACGTAGAAGGGATGGCAGATCTGGAAACAGCTTTCCGTAAATATGCCGTCTTTGGAGACACATCCGCCAGCGGCAATGACATGACGAGCAAGAACTTCTCCAAAATGATGAAGGAATGTGGCGTGATGGATGGAAAATTAGTGACCAGCACTGATGTGGACATCCTCTTCAGCAAAGTCAAGTGAGCAGGAGGGTTATAATCATCATCCTCTTAGAACTGCAGAGCTGGGAGGGGACCCTGTGGATAATGGAATTCAGCCCTTGTTGAGGAGGCACAGTGGGGGGAATCAAACTCCCAACCTCTGGCTCCACAGTCAGATGCCTGAACCACAGAGTTATCCAGCAGTTCTTTGTATATTTGTGTGTTTGTGTGTTTTTCTCGGTCTCCGTATTTGTGTGTTTGTTTCAGCCTGACTGTCTTAAGCAAGGGGAGACAGGCGAGAAGGTTCTGAGACAATATCTTTCTTTTCTTTGCAGGACCAAGGGAGCCCGTAATATCACATACCCGGAATTTCTTGAAGCTCTCAAGGAGCTGAGCGTTAAGCGTTTCAAAGGGAAGTCCCCCGAGGAGGCATTGCAGGCCACGCACCAGCTATTAGTGGGCAAAGATCCGTCTCTTGTGGGAGCAACGGTGAGTAACAAAAAACTCACAGAAATGTGGAGGAAAACTAAGGGTGTCGACTTCCACTGTTATGAGAGTAGAAAATCCCCTGCTTTTTAAAAAAAATGTGGAATCTTTTTAACAAACTACTGGCAGGGGGAAATCCTAAAGGAGCCCAGAACTGATAACAGAATCCTATCACCACGAAGGTAGTTCATTTATTTGTATAGGGACTGGATGGCAGCCTGTCCTAACCCTATACCATCATAAAATTAGTTCTGCTTTTGCATCTGGGCAAATAAATATGAATGTGCAGGTTTATCCAGATCATTGCCCTTTATTCCTTCCTTTTGGGGGAATGAGTAAGTGCCCCCTTAAATGGACCCAATACAAGCTATCCTTACCCGTCTCCCAATCTGTACAGAGGACCTCTAGATGTCATAGATCTCTCTCTGATGCAGAGGTCCCTTCTGTCAAGCCGAGGACTGTCTCATACAGTCAGCTAGTTGCCCTCCTTGTGATTTTCCCCTGTGGCAAGAGTTGAGCCCAGCTCTCACACCGACCCCACCTATTTGTCTTCCACATCCATCACAATTTTGAAGCTTGTTTCTCTTGCAGAAATCTGTCACGGCTGGAGCAGTGGATAGACTGACGGACACTAGCAAATACACGGGCTCTCACAAGGAACGATTTGATGAGAGTGGCAAGGGCAAGGGGATCGCCGGGCGTGCAGACTTAGCTCAGAACACGGGCTATGTCGGGGCCTACAAGGGGGCTGGAACCTATGACAAGAGCCACTAAAGGTGTGTGGAGGCCATCTTGCAGCACCCTCTAAGATCTTTCCTGTCCCTTTTGTCCATGAACGGTAGGGGAGGCCAATAAACAACTGCTCTGACCTCTTGCATTCTTGTGAGTGTGTTACTTGGCATTGGAAGGAAAGATGTTTTAAATTTCCCCATTTTAAAGGTGCCACCTCATTATCTGTCATACCATGATCCATGTTGCAAGGAAAATCAAAGTCAATATTTTAATACATGCACCCAATTTTTCCTTTCACTTCTGAAACCAAAAGCTAGAAAAGATTTAGTATTGGCTAGCCATGAAACCTTTCATCTACTTTGCTTGGAGATTCTGATCTAAGTTTGTCCTTCTTGGCTTGCTAACCAAAAGAACACAATTTTGCAAATTCTGATTGCAAGACCTTAGATCTGAGCTGTCTACTAGACCTGCAATATTAAAAGATTGGCTGTGTCATTTCTGTGCTTGGCTGGGCAGTTGAGTACAATGTTGTAGCCTTAGGGGCACGGCCCAGCTACTCCCATGGTAGGCACATGCACATTGCCTTTATGGAACGTTGTAGCCTTAGGGGCACGGCCCAGCATGGTAGGCACATGCACATTGCCTTTATGAGTTTATTAATCTCTGCAATATAACCATTAAACAGAATGAGGCAGTCATACCTAGTGGTAGGTACTTGGGATGCACAAGAAAATGTTGTGGGAGAGAGTTGTGTTCAGGGAACGACCAGAAGAACAGGCAGTACATGTTCCTTAACATGTCTGAACCCAAAAACAGTTCTTAGCATCTTATTCCCCACATGCAAGCAGCTATGCTGTAGAGCACATTAACTCATTTATTGTAGCTTGAACTTCATGAAGGGAAGGCACAAAGCATACAAGAGAAATGGAATGGAAACAATCTTGGATAGTTTTGAAAATGCCAAGATCATCTGTTTTCTCCTTTACTTAAATTCTCATAGAAGTATAGACTAGATGTTAAACTAAGCTTCCTTCCTTCCTTCCTTCCTTCCTTCCTTCCTTCCTTCCTTCCTTCCTTCCTTCTGGCAGGTGGAATTAAGGCTCTTAAAATCACTATGTACCCCCTCCCTCCAAATTTCCACCGTATTTTTAAATACGTATTAAAACACCGTATTTTTAACTGTACCAACAACAAAAAAACAACAGGGAAGAACCCAACAGGGTAACCATGAATCAGTGAAATATTCTCCAGGACAGATCCACTGTCAAGGGCTATTAAAGAAGATACTGTATATTGGATTGCCCCTTATATACAGGCTTGCTCCTTTTGAGACCTAGTTGGTACCTTCATCACGCAGTTTCCTTGATGGCCAGCAGAGGGCAACAGCGTATCACCAGCACCCAGGCAATTTTCGCCCATGAAGTCAGAAACGTGCTTCTATCAGCCTGGTGTTAGTATTTACCTGCCAGCACCATTGCTGTCTTTCTCTGTATTAGACTTCTGACACTCCCCTCTATGTGTAACTGGACTACCCTTCAGGACCCTGGAAATGTTACACAGAAGTTGGGGGCTTGTTGAATGGGATTAAGTAGGAGATGCAGTAGAAAAGAGAGAAGGTTGAAAATTGAGTGTGGAAGCATATTCTGTGACTTGAAGCCCTTAGGCAGTGTAAGGCAGATCCTGGATCCAACCCAGTGTGTTTAGGTCTCTAACAACGGTGTTATTTTTATACTGCAATAGTCATTAGGATGCTTTTTGAGACTTCCCAAAAGCCACTGTATGCAAGCAGATCTAGACGTCTCTGTGGTTTGCCAGCATTTTTATGCAATCCTTCCATGTAGGTCCCACAGCACAATGAGAGCGGAAGCTGACAGCATTTGAGAAAAATCTGAAAGTCAGGGAACAAAAGCGGGCTGGTGTCCACCACCATTACAGTGCAATCCTTTACCATTTTGTTGTTATGTGCCGACAAGCCTTTTCTGATTTATGGCAACGTTGTGGGCTAAACCGCAGAAGCCTGTGCTGCAGGGTCCGAAGACCAGCAGTCGTAAGATTGAATCCACGCGACGGAGTGAGCACCTGTCGCTTGTCCCAGCCAACCTAGCAGTTCGAAAGCATGGAAAAATGCGAGTAGACAAATAGGTACCACCTCGGCGGGAAGGTAAAACGGCACTCCCTAGTCACACTGGTCACGTGACAACGGAAACTGTCTTCGGACAAGCGCTGGCTCTACAGCTTGAAAACGGGATGAGCACTGCCCCCTAGAGTAGGACACAATTGGACTAAAAAAAATGTCAAGGGGAACCTTTACCTTTTTTTATGAATAAGCAATCTCCTAGATTTCCTGCCTTCACCTGCCCTGCTCAGCTCTTGCAAACTCAAGCCAGAGGCTTTTCTTTAGGGAGTCAATCCATGCTATTACAGAATTTGACACTGAAGTAAATTTCTAAGAGCCTTACTCCTACCTAAGTCCATCTGGGTTGGCAATCCTTACTTGATTTCATCACCAGATTATCAGTGGGGCTGCAATTAAAGGAACTTGATGTTTTGATCTTTGGCATCTTAGTAATAGTGCTCAAAATGGGGAAGGACAAAGGCTTTTTGTTCTGACACTGAATGGTAGCTTTATTACATAGCACTTCCTTAACATCTGCAACGCCAATGAACCATGAGCCTTCACCGCACTGGGTGGGGTTGGTGACTTGGGACCTCTAGAGCAGGGGGTAGGCCATTTGTGGCTCTCCAGATGTTGGGGATGAGGCAACCCTGGTCAGTACAGTCAGCAGCGAAGGATGAGGGGAAATGCATTCTAATGACATCTGGAATCCACCTCAAAGTTATGGTCCAAAAAAAAAAGCCATTGAGTTAATTTCAGGGTATTTGTATGCACATATTTGTCAACAGAACACTGGAGTTGGATCCAGACTTATACTCAGATAACTTAGGGAAATCAATAGAAATTAAATTAGGTACAATCGCTTTACGTTTCAGCCATTTCAACGGGCACTGTTTGTGTGATTAAATCTAGGTATTCAGCCAGGCCAGATCTAGTTGCACATGCATGCATGTGAATAATTAATTGCACTGGGAGGGTGATTGGCTTTTGGATGTACACCCACGACTGTACAAATAGATGGGACTGGGAAGTACATCTGCAGGAACAAAGCTGCTGCCATGTTAAGATGTACAGATGGATGTGGTTTGTCTATTTATGTTCAACAGGATGTGCGTTTGAAGGCCGTCATATTTTGTGACATTTAGTCGCATGTAAATGCATCTGACAGGAGCTGGAGTGGGCACAGAATGAGAGAAGAGGCTTGTTTACTTGATGACCTAAAAATGCCTCTGAAGGAACCACGGACAAGGGTCCCAACCGATGCCATGGCCTCAACCTTAAGAGGATGTTGTTTTTGCATTCCAGTCTCAACTCTTCACGTTGCTGCCTTTTAAAACAAAAGGCTTTCCAGCCTTCTTGCTGAAACGGAGAACAGGGCCCATATTCAGTTTATAGTGAAAACATTGGACACAGTCCTGTGGTTCAGCGCTGGGCGGAGGGCCCGGGCCCTAGCGGGGACAGGTTGAAAACTTCCCCATGCCACAAAGATGGATACTCCTTTTGTTCCTTCAAACTAACAATACGAGGCTTTGACCCTCGGGAGGGGAGGAAGCCCTTGGCAGTCCCAGTAGTGTTTTGGTCTCGAGGCTGCTTTGCTGGCACAGGATGGCAGAGGACAAAGATTTACACTTTTGGCTCTTACCGAAAGGTCAAGCCTACTGGGAGGAAAGCTTGGGGGGGGGTGAAAAACAGTCCTGCAAGGGGATTAATTCTGCCTGCAGACTGCCTTCAATGTCCCTTCTGCAAGTCAAGTCTTTAAAACATTTGTTTCAGCACAGAATAGTCATTCTGTCACATCAGTAAGTACTGATAGTAGCTATTATGTAGAATTGTTGGCAGAATTCAGAACTTCGCATTTCAGTGCTTTTAAATGTTCACCTCAAGGCAAAAGAAAAATAGCTGCATATAGGAAGTAACTTTATCCTGTGTCCTAGTTTGCTACATGCCAATAACTGTTCCTTGTTCTCTGGACAAGACCTCTGTTGTGTCATCCCCTTGGAGGCTGAAAAGGTATGGTCCAGAATGTCACCTTTCTACTTTACTTCCCGGGAATTTAAAAACAGAGGCAGCCCATCTTCTCTATAAAATAAATTCCTAAACCCATATTGGATTATACTTTTACTCAAATCTAATTCCTTACAGAAGAGCCTTAAGTGCTTCCATACATTTCTTTGTGAGTGGAGGTTTTTTTTTGGGGTGGTGGTGGTGGTGTTTTTGGTGCTAATTTCCCCTGTCCCAGGAAAGATGTGAACCACCAAGAGTGGGTTCTCTGTCCTGTTTTTTGTTGTTGCTGTTTTACTTTTAGAGAAAGTAAATGGCAGGAGAGGATAAAATGACTTCTCCCATTTTTGCACCGATTCAGAGAAAAACTACGTAGAAAAACACAAAACACTGGAAAAAGGAATTTTTGTTCTCTCGTAACAATCTGGTCAGGCCATTATTTTATGCAGACTATTTATTAAGTGTGGAACTTAGAGAACTGATGAAAAGTGGGACATGAACAGATTTTCTTAATCTTCCAAGAAAAGTTGGTTGGCAAAGTAGGCTGACACACACCTCTGTCAACTTCCCACTAGTGTCTTAGATTACCTCTTGGATAAGAAAAGAAGCAAAAATACATTCCTCTCTAGATATTTTATTGTTAAGAGTCAGGATTCACCATCGACTGCTCTGGGGAAAATAAACAGAGCTCACACATTCTCAAATACAACAGGATCCCATTACATGCAGGAGTTAAAATCCCAGCTGGAACCCATTTCAAAGCAATGCCCCTTTGTTACAGGCAGCTGAGCCATTCATCCCCAGTGCCCATTCAGGTTTAAGGAATAAGTAAGGTGACTTTGTAACTGGACCGTCATCTTTAATGTTCCACAAGATTCTTTACATCTCGATGAAGTGCTATATGTCACTCCAAGGCTTACATACTGAATACCCTCACCTACTACTGGTCCATTTTTTTGTTTTGTTCTTTCCCCCAATTTTACCTTCATCCTTTTGGATTCCTTATTTCTGCGAGTTCAACATAGCAAACACGATCTAAACACTGACTTTTTAATATACCTGTTAACAATCAAATAGCTGATACAGTTGGAATCCTGTTACAGAAGAAGCTGGCGCAAAGTTCGCCCTCCACAGCACTACGAGAGCCCTGCTCAAAGCCACAAGCTGGAGCCCCATGACAGTCAGTGCTGGTTGCAAGGGAAAATTCACCACTGACCACAGTCGGAGGTCTCCTCCACTCATTTCATATGTGAAGCCAGTATATAATCATGGTCTGTTGCCCTCTGTGCTGGCACGGAGGCAACAGGACAATCCATCTGAAGCCCCCAGCCGTCCCCCACCCAAGGATTCCCCAAGAGGAACGACCCCCCTCCCCAACACCCGCCCCCTCGTTTTCAGCCTCACCCAGCCTCCCAAACACCTCTAATCACTGATACCACTTGCTGATTTAGCAGGGACTGTACATGCACACCACAAAGCAAGCTACCATCTACAAAGGATTAGTTTTATGGCAGGTGGGAGGGAGACAGAATAGGCAGGAAATGAAATCTTTGGCTAATGGGAAACGGATGTAGGAGAGTGGAGAAAATGCGAAATAAAAGCAAAGAGAGATGGAAGAAATGGAGAAGGTAAGTTTCTTTTAATCTGTTAGTGGAGCGCAGAATTTATTTTTGCCCTGAGGAGCAACTAACGTCTTCCAGGACAAATAGAAATCTTGGGAGATGAGACCAAAACAAGACGAAATGGGCGTATGGGCACAGAGGTGTGGTGGGAGTGGGTGGGTGGGTGAGCAACTCCTAATTCAGGAGCACTATGCCAGCATGACAGTAGCAGTGCAAGTCCTTATAGGGGCTTGTGCGTCTCTCTTGTGAGGTCCTGCTTTTGCCTATATACACTCCAGAGGGGACAAAGAGCTAGCAAGGCAATCCGATGCCCATCCAGGCTACTCTGAGAACATAGAATTTTAGAGGGAGGAACAATGGTTAGTTATGATTTAGACAAGAAAAAAGAAAAACCCCAACAATAATCCAAACCTCCCTTGTTAACAAAACTAAAGTGTGCAACTGGATGGAGGAGAAATGAAAAATTCAGAACTGGTGCCAAGAACCTAACAGTTCATAAAATGTATAGTATAGTATAGTATTCCATCCATACGAGTCTAGGTGTTGAGGGTCACTAAGGAAACTGGAGGCTGACATTAATTAGGTTATGAGAGGGAAGGGGGCAAGGTTGGCGAGGGAGGTGCGTATGTGTTGGGTGAGAAGGATGGGTTGGGGGGGAGTTAATGTTTGTTTTTAAAAGAGTGAAATTGCATCCCATCTGGGCCTCCCTGGACGTTTAGTACCGTTAGGGGAGATTGTCACATGGCCCAGTGGCCGGAGTGCATTGTGGGATAGCAGAAGTCCTGTTCAGTGGTGGGAGGTGGTCTTGTCCCCTGGCTCGGCGCTCAGCAGGACACCTCCATGGTGGGGGCGGGGGGCTGAGGCGCCCCTGCCTCGCTGCTCTGCGACAGGGTGCGCGAGCGAGAGCGGTTCCCGTCCCCCGAGGTGGCACTGGACAGAGAGGCGGTGCGTGAGCGAGACAGGCGTGTCATGCAGGACGAAGCCACTGTGGAAAGGAGGAAAAGAGAAACAGGGAGAATCAGTTAAAACTCTTGCGTGTGGGAAGTCATATACCATCCCGCCTCCTCATCTTGTCCTGAAGTGGGTGAACGATGGGATAAGTGCCATTGTGTGTGACGTCAGTGATTTCCACAGCCTCCCAATGCAACATGTAAGATAAGGTGAGAATGAGTAAATTTGGGTGCAAAATAAGAGGCTGGAACTACCAGAGAATTACCTTGGATCACCAGTTATTTATCTATATTTACAGGGTTTGACTTCCTTTAAATCCTTAGCATCCTCAGATCCACTGACAATTGTAAAGTGTGTCTATATTTACAGGGCTTGACTTCCTTTAAATCCTCAGATCCACTGACAATTGCAAAGTGAAGACAGACCTTACTTGGGGTGTGTGTGTGTGAAGCATCTCAAAAGAAGCCTACTAAAATTCTTTCTGCATATGCAGTGTGCAGAAAGGGAAGGATCACCCCATCAGGTTTTTAGCCCTCATGGGTTGCAAAACTTTTAAGGACTACAGATCATCTTCAGTGCATGGACATGGTTTCCTACCACCCAGGCCTGAAGCCATGCTCCTTTCTGCACAGTGTCACTTATCCGTATGTTGCTTGCAAGCTACATTCCGAACCCCAAAAATTCCTATCATCTCAGATCCACCCACCCCCTACCCCATTCGGCAAAGACACAAAATACAGGGTGCAAACGGATCATTTGCACACAATTAAGACATCTGCACACAATGTTAATGATGTGAGCAATTTTATTTTGGAATGCAAACCCAGGATTTCAATTGTGCAGAAGGAGAGTTGTTAGCAGCCCTTGCATGTTCTTATACAAAGGCAGGCTACCGTTCTTCTCAAATTTAAGTGCACAACAGAAACCCAAAGAAAGCAACTTCTGCTTTCTCACCATCACAGCAAACAATTCAATGTGTGTCCTGGTGTGGGATTGTGCACACAGGAGTGAGGGAATCACAGCAGGGGTGAGGGGATATATTGAGGAGAAAGTGAGTCAAAGAATTATAGGTGGTGGTGCTGGTGGTGGGAGAAACACCACAGAAGGTACCTGACCCCTGACTCAGTTTCTTGTCCAGTACGTGAGGGACTGAGGAGAAATGGGAAAGGATACCTCAGCCTAGTGGGGGGGGGGGAAAATTCCCCTGGGAATGCAAGTTCACCACTGATCATTTCTCAAGGGACAACCTAGTCTAAGAGGACCTTTTAAATATCATGATGATGAGGTATAGGCGGGGAAGGGGAGGAGAGAGAAAATAATGTGCATGGACAGAGAAAATGTCTCAGAATTCCTTGGATCCTTGCAACAACTGCGTTCAACGCATATCTGGCATGGAGAAAATGGCCCACTGCCTTCAGTCTCCCAAAAGGAAAGGACCACGATGACAGTGTTAATTCTTGATTAATGGACCCCTTAATGAGTCTGCTTATTCCCTCCCCATTGGCCCAATCTGACTCATTACAGTGGTGCCTCGCTTAGCGAGCGCTCCATTTAGCGATGAAATCGCTTTGCGATGAACTTTTTGCGATCGCAAAAGCGATTACTTTGCGATGTTCCCTATGGGGGAATTTTGCTTTGCGATGATCGGTTCCCTGCTTCGGGAACTGATCATTGCAAAGCGACCATTATCGCACAGCTGATCGGCGGTTTCAAAATGGCCGCCGGGTAAACAAAATGGCCGCCCACTTTTTCTGGGACAGATTCCTTGCTTAAAAAGCACCGAACATGGCTGCACTATGGAGGATCTCCGCTGAACGGTGAGTTTTAAGCCCCTAGGAACGCATTAATCAGGTTTTAATGCATTTCTATGGGCTTTTTAATATCACATAGCGACATTTTTGTTCAACAGCGATTTTTGCGGAACGAATTAACGTTGCAATGCGAGGCACCACTGTACTAATGCTGAACATGGATGAGTTTGGGAACCATAAAGGAACATTTCTATAAATACTCAGTGAAGCCTTAATTCTGGACCACATGGAATGAAAAAGCTCAACATTCCCAATAAGAAGTGCCCCTGACAGACTACAGAAGAGAACATAGGCTTTCAGATCCAATACTCACTGTATCCCATGCCCTGCACAAAGTACTTGAATGCCTCAGTCAGTTTACCAGGCTGGAAGACAGAAGAGACGACAGAGAGAGAGAAAAAGCAGAGGAAAACGTTACAAGTGTACATACATGGGTGTGGGTACTGGTCATGGTGGAGTCTCTTCCATAATTTGCTTTACTGTGCTAATAATCTTGTTTCCCTCTTTCCAGAATTAATGGTTCTCCCCCTTCTCTATTTTTAATGCTTGAAGTATGTGAACAGGAAGAAAACCCCCAATGCTTAGTAATTTATTTAGTGTAGAAACTTCAGCGATACAAACGTCATCTTAAAGCGTCAAAAAAACAATTTCACCCCAATGTACTTAAATGTTGGTAGTCACAAGTTTATTCCACTTTTATTTTACATTTCAAACAATAAACCAAACATTTCTGTCCCAATATATAGTATTACCTCTGTTACGACTTTGGAGCACATCCAAAATTGATGGTAATTGTCCCTCAAAGAAATCTTAGCCACATTTGTTTATGGTTGCCATTTAAGGAACAGGCCACTCTTAGTTTTAAGGTACGCAAAAACCTTGCTAGAAATGCAAGTTTAATTTTATTCTTTTCCTGTTTAGTTACAGAAATCCCACCCACCCCGATTTTAGCTTAAGACACACCATTGCACCAGAATCTAAATTATATGTGGGTAGAGCAGGCTCCCCTAAACCTTTTCCTTCCATTCATGGGCAGCATGCTGCTGATCAGACCGTGACATGTCCAAGGTAAAACCCTAAGAAATTTAGACCCCTCCTCTTGACCTTATGCACCTGCTGTTACGTAAATAATAATCATTGGCCATCCGGTCAATTCTGATTTATGCCGACTCTTTTCAGGATTTTCCAGGTAGAGAATACTCGGAAATGGTTTACCCTTCCCTTCTTCTGGGGGCATCCTGGAATTGTGCAGCTTGCCCAAGGCCACACAGGCTGACTCTTCTCCCTGGAGGCACAGTGGGGGGGGGGATCAAACTCCCAACCTCTGGCTCCATAGCCAGATACCCAAACCACTGAGCGATCTAGCCAATGTAAGGGATGAGAATACCTAAACAGGGCTGGGACAATGACTCAGTCTATCAACTAAAAATCTATATACGTGAACTAGAAAAGAAAATGATCCTGGTTGTTTAACAATGATTCACTTTCTATAATATGTGTAGTTTGGATGTTGTTTTCTGGGCTCAATGAAAAAGGAAGAAATACATTTTAGGTACAGCTAGCTCTTGTGTTCGACATTGACTCACAGCGAATTAAACCATGGGCCTGAGCATACACAGTGTACAGATACATGTATTAAGGCCTCTGTCACTGCAGCACAGTGTAGGGCAGACCTGGGCAAAGTGCTGCTCTCCAGATGTTGCTGAATGGCAAATCCCAACACTCCTCACTATTGGCTGTGTGGGCTAGGATTGCTGGGAGTTGCAGTTCAGCAACATCTGGAAGGCCACATTTTGCCCAGGTCTGGTGTAGGAAGCAGATAATTTTAAGCAGAGGAGAGAAGGAGTACAGAACTCTCTCTCTGCCTCTTTCTCCAACATATCCTGGCCATTTCATTCCTCTGCTGTGCATCAGATACCTATCTGCAAGGCACAGAACCCCAAAAGACAGGACGTGGGGGAGAGATGTGTAGTTGAAGCTCTCCGCAGCTTCAAATCATCCTCTCTGGAAGTGGTTTTTCTCTGCAAGTCATTTAAAATGTTGAGGTTTTGTTACACCAGGCGTAACAATCATGTACTGTATTTCCTTTACTATCTTGAGAAATACCAATATAGACATAGATGTTTGAAGCATGCTCTAGCAGAAGGAGAAATGATGTACTGAGAAACACTGTTTTTGACAACAACCACCTTAATGCATGCCTATTGTTTGTCTCCTAAAACTTACTCCTAAGTCCCAGGTTCTGCCACTCTATCTTACCTGGGTCAACTGCGGCTGTCCTCCTGAATCTGCCATCTGAAAAAATGGAAACAGTAGTCAGAGAGGGAAGCATCTAACCTAGAGTGGGTTTTGTGGAGAACATACAGAAATGAGTATCAGGGCCTCAAGATACGTCTCTATGACATTTTGCAAGGGGGGGGGGCAACACCTTTTGGTCAAAAATGTAGGGACAGCAGGGGATGATAAAAGATAAAGGGTGAACAGTGTAAAGGATGTGCGGTCCTGAGCTAAAATCTGGAGGAAACTTGCTGCATCCCAATCCCATAGAAAATCTATGTCCACAACCACTTTCCATCTCCACAAAATCAGAAAAGTTTATGACACAGATATTCTAAGACGTAAAGCTTTATGAACAAAAAATTAGGAGGGTGGGTTTACTAGCAAATACGGTAAGTCGATTGTGAGGACAGAACTGATGTTATAGCTATCCCTTCATTAGAAGAGGAAAATTCCTAAAGAACAAACATGTGAGTGTCACAGTGGGAGTTTCTCTCTCCTCCTGGGGTTTGCAAATTAGCTTGCTTTGTTTTGTGATTGGTCTTCAGGACTTGAGTGCTGCATTCCCTTCAAGTCTTATTTCCCAGACTCAGAAATCTGCCTGAATCACACCTTTGCAACACTAAAATGCTTTCAGTTCTAATGAAGGGTTATCTGTATTGTCTATTTCCCCCTTAATTAAAGCCCTGGGACCCATAAAGGGAAATGTATGACAGAAATAGACAAACTGCAGGAAAGTTTTAAAGAAAAAGATGGCTATGGGAGAAACAAGAGGACGGGACCTGAGGCAACGGGAATGAAAAGCTAGATGCAGAGCTTATGCTTTTCATATAGCATAGCCTTGAGAAAGGCCTTACTTACCTTCAGGAAGGATGTCTGGGTGGGGTCTAGTTTGGAATTGCACTCCACCTGTAAGAGAAATAGAGGATAAAAAGCAAACCTAAGATGAGAGAAGGCGCTTCATCAGTTTATTTTAAGGTGAAAGTAAAAGACTGATGGCCCAAAAAACAGGAGGTCTAGCAACTCTACACCTTTTCATGCATATAAAACTTTTTTTTAAAATTGCCATTACTCACCACAGCATCTTCATGAGGGGCCTGATCTCCCACCACCAACATCACAGGACATCTAAATGTGAACAGAAAAGAAACAATGGCAAAAGGACATGTTTTAGAAGGTGCAACCCTTCCAAGTGACTGGGGTATTAAAAGCTTGCTATCTCTTACATTAAAAATACGCACAGCTATCTCAGCTCAAAAGAAAACACGATCAGAATTTACAGAAGTGTAATACCATTATTAGGGACAGACAAAGTAGAAAAAAAGAATAAACAACCCTCAGTGATAATAGCAAGCATGTTTTGAATTTCTCCAAAGCTTTTCATGTGGCAGACAAAACAAAAATGGAAATGAGGAATTTCAGAAGGTGAACAAGCTGAGGTGACAAGGAAAACTGCGATATATGCACAGTCAAAGATGGATTCCAGGAACTGCTGTGCAGCGTCTATGTTATGTCCATGCAAGAGTAGCCAAAATGCAGAAAAATCTCTGAAGACTCTTTCCCTCAGGCAGAGAAAGGGGATAAAAATCATGGACCGTGAAGGAATATCTGCTTTCTTCCTCACTGATGCTCACTTCTCCTTCATTTTGGGGGTAAAAACCCATGGATTCATTTTTAGGATGCCAATGGTCTCTTGGTTATTTCAACTCTCACACCGGGAAGGGAAAGGAAAAAAAGGGGATATGTCACCATGAATAGAAAGAGAGAGGAGGGGAAATCAGTGACACACACAGAGAAAGACAGCTAGGAGCTCCCAATTCTCCCAAGCTATGTTGGGTGCCACTTCCGTCCTCTCTGACTTTTTGATGGCGAGGAAGTTATTAAAAGGGCCCAAAATGTCTTTTTTCTCCAACCTCTCCCTGCGTGGGGTAGGCCAGTGAGAAGGAAGCAAACCGAAACTGTGCCATGGTGAGGACCGCAATGCAATTATCCAGTGTTTGCCCCCACAGGATGTGGACAAACACAGTCCGCTCTGCCCAGCGTGGGGTCTGGCCAAGGGACCCGCTGCCGCCTGCTGCCATTATCTGAGGCCTGGCAATTCTGTGGGGCTCATCAGCGCTTCCTGAGGTTGCTTAGCAACCCCAACATACTCTCAATACCGTCCTCGCCCAGGGTCAGCTCAGCCCTAGCTCAACAGGTTGGCTACCTAGAGTGTCAAAATTCAAGAGGTAGAGTTTTCCCTTTAAAGAGAGAGAGAGAGAGCGCTTGAGAATCTTAAAAGAGGAATACATTCCTGCCCCACTCCACCAAAATTTTGGGAATGAGAGTCAGGGCCGTGTCCCAGCCAAGATTTCCCTTTCTCTATGCAGCCCTTTCTCTGTGTTCCCTCCACCTCACAGATTAGCAGCAGCCTCTGTGAGAAAAGCCCGGAGGAAAGACCGCGGTGCCCTGCATACAAGACGCCAAGCAGCCAAATTAATTTTTTGCCTGAAGCAACACGCTAGCATGAGCTGGCCCGATCCCCTCCTAAAACTGGCAGAAGAACCAGGCCTACATCCAAGTCCTGCCGAGATGAAAGCTCCCCTTCCCCCTTTTTCTCCACATTCCAGCAGAGTTGCTGGTGTGAACATGTTGCAAGGGTGTGTGGCCGACTTTTGTATAATTCATGGCCTAAAGAAAGTCTTAACTCTACCTTCAGTGTAGCTAATGATTCCCGAAGAAGAGAGTATACATAGGTAGAGAGACAGTGTAGCTGAGTGGTTGGAGTACCGGATTTGGATTTCAGGGTTCCAGATTCAAATCCCCACTAACCCAATTCACCGGGGGTGTTGCTGGATTGTTAGCCTCCCTCATCCTAAAGAAATTTACAAGTTTCTTGTGGGAATAAAGGAAGAGAGTTGTTCATGCAGTCTTGAGCAATTCGGCATATGGGGAAAAAAGAGCAGGGAATAGATACAACTAAACAATTAACACAGAAATTGTAGAAAGTCTGAAGTATTACTAGGTTTCTTGTGGGGGCAACAGCTCCCGCCTAGACTCCTATAGCCGTGTTGAGAGGTTACCTCAGTCCTACCTGTTTACTCAGAAAGCCAGTGGTTCAACACACAAGAGATGTGAGGAGAATGGGAGATTAGAACATAGTGGGGCCTTGAGGATCAGTGAAAACAAAAATAAAAAGCTCAAAAATGGCAATAGAATTGCTGATCTTCAGACCTAATTTAAGAAATCTCTTTTTTTAGTCTCACTGTCTCTGGGTTTAGCATGTGACTTCTACTTCCCTTTTGACACTTCTACTTCATAGTCACAAGGTCACATCTTTATTTTGGATTAATTAACCATGTGCATGTGTCTCTGAGGTTTCACAGTATAAAAACAGAGCAGGATTATAACTAATTAATCCAGAAGAAAATTAAAGTATTAGCAAAAAGCAAGGAATCAAAAAGTAGAAGACTGGGCTGCATTTTTTAATTAAAAACCCCTCTGTTCTTTGGCTTTTCTTCAATAATAATCTGTATTACTCATGTCTTTTCTGAAATGTGGACATTTCCAATATTTATGCAAAGCAGGGGTGGGGATGTGGGGCCTTTTAGTGTTGTTTGACTGCCGTTCCCATGAGCCTTGGCAAGTTTGAGAAGAACAGGGTGAATATGTGAACTCAGGTGCACAAAGGCTTGGCTCACTAGCACTCACTTGAAAGTGTGGTCGCCTCCACGCTCCAGAGTCAAGTCTCTGCGGCTGTGAGGGTAAAAAGAGAGGCATCGTCAACATCTTTCTTCAGCCTTTTGAGCTCAGCTTCTTTTTTGCATCCTGCTACATACCTTCCCCTGTAACAATCCTATAAATAGGCTCCCGTTTACTACCTAATCTAGTTCGATCTAGAGTTGCCAGTGCCTGAAATTAAAAATTGTTCCAGTGCCCTGCAGATGTGCAGCATCAGTCATACATCTGCCAAATCTCTCACTTTCAACACTGGTTAAGGGCAAAGAGCACTCTTCAAACTTGGATGTTGGCAATTATTCCCACTTCCACTTAAACCGATAAGCCAAGCAACCAAGATCCTGGAATCAATTAATCTTAGAATAACCTTAGAAATGCAGAGCTGGAAGGGACCCTCTGGATCATCAAGTCCATTCCCTGTCTAAGGAGGCACAGTGGGGAATTGAACTCCCAACTTCTGGTGTCATGATCAAAAACCTAAGTCTATCCAGAAGTTTTTTGCTTGAAAAGAAAAAAGGCATTATTATACATTCTACACAGGGCTACCTCCACCCTTTTTAGCCAGCCATCATCGTTGCCATCACCATTATTAACACCCTGGTTTTTTTACTTCATGGTCAGAAACCTAAGTCTATCCAGATGTTTTTTTGCTTGAAAAGAAAAAAGGCACTATTATACATTCTAAACAGGTCTACCTCCACCCTAGAACTCTTTTTAGCCAGCCATCATCGTTGCCATCACCATTATTAACACCCTGGTTTTTTTACAATCACGTACAAGCGGCTTCCATGAAACACACACACATACGTGCCAGTTTATTGGTTCATAAGACAAAAGCTGCAACCTCATTAGACCAACAATTAACTATACGCCATCAGAATGCTTTTGACTATAACTCCCATTGGCCTGATTTAGAATATCTAGCAGTGAAGAATCATGGGAGTTGAAGGCCAATAATTGGCGCAGGAGGGGATTACCATCCAAGCAGATCCTTGAACTAGAAGACCCAAAGGAACCCAAGAATGCAAAGCATCTCCTGAAGCCCATCTTCAGCAGATGGTATCTTCAGACCACACTACAAAAACCTTCTCTAGAGACTCCAAACAAAGAAGCAAACTCCGGTTGGTTCCAGATTGTGGACCTATTTTGTCAACCTTCCATGAAAGCTGAATCAATGCCTGAGATATTGTAGTGAAAAAACAAAAAGAAAAACACAGCTACTGTGTGAAGTTCTGAAGGCAAATCCCCCAATAAATCCTTTAGGAGAGCAACCTCACTAGGTGTTATTTTCCCTCCCTTCTCCTCCACTGTAATAAGAGAAGCTGCTTTGGACTGAGGCCCACTCTTCATCCATTCAGCTTAGTATTCTCTTCATCACTGCTGCAAAACCCGTGGTCCTCCAGTCAGCCAGCAATCAGGAATAGTGAAAGCTGAAGGCGAACATCTGGAGGGCCAGACTCCCTTCTGCAGTCTGCATAAGCCTTACCCAGTCTGAAACACTCCAAATGTTTTGAGTTACACTTCCTGATAGGCCAAGCCAGCATCTGCACTGGTTAGGAATAATGGGAATTGTAGCCCAAAATATCTGGAGGTCCCTAGATTAAGGAAATGCGTTCTGTTCTGACAAGTTCTTAGGGACTGGAGCCTTCTACTAGACCAGTGCTTGATCCCTGTGCCGCCACCCCTGTCTGGGCCTTGTCTTGCACTTAGGAAGCTGGCTGCTGAATATCCGTGTGACTCGTTCTTAACTTGCCCCTTTGCAATCTGTTTTTGTTGGGGGCAGATACAGTAGCGCCTCACTTAACGAGCGCACCGTTTAACGATGAATCCGCATAGTGATGAGTTTTTTGCGATCGCTTTTGCGATCGCATTGCGATGTTTTAGATAGGGAAAACATTGCTTTGCAATGATCAGTAAGCGTTTTGCTTACCGATTTTCGCATAGCGATATTTTAAAAACAGTTGATTGGCGGTTACAAAATGGCCACCAGAAGAATAAAATGGCCACCCGCAGCATTTTCGCGCCCTGTCCTCGCTTACCGGGCAGCAAAAATGGCGGCCGGATGGAGGATTTCTGCATAGCAGTGAGTTTTCCCCCCATAGGAATGCATTAAACGTGTTTTAATGTGTTCCTATGGGGCTTTTCCCCCGCATACTGACGAATCCGGATAGCGACGATTTTTTCCGCACAGATTATCGGCGCTATGCGGGGCGTAGATAGTTCTGTTGAGTTTCTGCATTGGTCCAAATGGACAAGCAACCCTTGCCAATGCAAAGAGAAAGCAGAACTATCCGCCCTGAAAGCTGCTCATTCCTCCTTTGTATGAGTCATATTGTTTTGCGTGTTTCCTGCCATCAAACAACATGCTCAGCACACTAAGCTGTGCAACGAGCCGACGATTTTTTCCGCACAGATTATCGGCGCTATGCGGGGCACCACTGTAGTTCTGTTGAGTTTCTGCATTAGTCCAAATGGACAGGCAACCCTTGCCAATGCAAAGAGAAAGCAGAACTATCTGCCCTGAAAGCTGCTCATTCCTCCTTTGTGTGAGTCATATTGTTTTGCGTGTTTCCTGCCATCAAACAACATGCTCAGCACACTAAGCTGTGCAGCGAGCATGCACTTTCCTAATGGCAAGTATTTCTTTTATTTCAGAGGCAGACTGTTGAGACATAATCAAAAACCATCAACCATAGCTACCAGAAATTCAGGGATGCTTGCGTTAGAAGGAGAGAATATCTCGGTTAATTGTACAGTGGTGCCTTGCTTAATGATTGCCTTGCTTAACGAGGAAATCGCTTGATGATTAGGTTTTTGCGATCACAAAAGCGATCGCAAAAACGATGGTTTAAATGGGAAAAATCCGCTTCACAATGATCGGTTCCCTGCCTCAGAACCGATTTTCGCATTACGACGATCTAAAAACAGCTGATAGTTGGGTTTCAAAATGGCCGCTGGGTGTACAAAATGGCACACCGCTGTTTTCTAGGATGGATTCCTAGCTTTACAGGCTCCAAAATGGCCGCCCTATGGAGGATCTTCGCTGGACGGTGAGTTTTCAGTGCATTTGAACGCACTGAACGGGTTTTCAATGCATTTCAATGGGCTTTTTCGTTTTGCTTAACGAGGATTTTGCTCTACAGCGATTTCGCTGGAACGATTATCCTTGTTACGCGAGGCATCACTGTACATCCCTACTACTGATGCCACTGCCAGTCCCCTAATGCTACTAATCTCCAGCCCAACACACTAGCAGGAGGCGGCTTCATGGGATGGATTATTAGTCCCATGGTTTCAGGCATCATCCCAAGCAGGAAAGAAACCCTCAGATTCTGGACTAGTCCTGCCCACAAAGCCTGGCTTTGAGACCTAGCTTAGGCAGGAAGAACTGCAAAACTGTTAAGGAAGAACTGTTTGGGGCGGATCCTTGGCTTGGGCGTCCTGGTTTGCTAACCTCCAGCCTAACACACTAGCAGGAGGTGGCCTCATGGGAGGGATTATTAGTACTGTACCATGGTTTCAGGCATCATCCCCAGCAGGAAAGAAACCCTCAGGTTCTGGACTAGTCCTGCCCACAAAGCCTGGCTTTGAGACCTAGCTTAGGCAGGAAGAACTGCAAAACTGTTAAGGAAGAACTGTTTGGGGCGGATCCTTGGCTTGGGCGTCCTGGTTTTGCCCCTTGGTTTCCTTCCTGGTCCTGTTTTCATTCCAACAGGTGCTGGAGGCTCAGCCCTAACACTCTCTCACTCTGGTCTCCATTGGACATTGCGCTCCCGATCCACGCCTTGCCCACACACCTTCGTTTTGCTTAACGAGGATTTTGCTCTACAGCGATTTCGCTGGAACGATTATCCTTGTTACGCGAGGCATCACTGTACATCCCTACTACTGATGCCACTGCCAGTCCCCTAATGCTACTAATCTCCAGCCCAACACACTAGCAGGAGGCGGCTTCATGGGATGGATTATTAGTCCCATGGTTTCAGGCATCATCCCAAGCAGGAAAGAAACCCTCAGATTCTGGACTAGTCCTGCCCACAAAGCCTGGCTTTGAGACCTAGCTTAGGCAGGAAGAACTGCAAAACTGTTAAGGAAGAACTGTTTGGGGCGGATCCTTGGCTTGGGCGTCCTGGTTTTGCCCCTTGGTTTCCTTCCTGGTCCTGTTTTCATTCCAACAGGTGCTGGAGGCTCAGCCCTAACACTCTCTCACTCTGGTCTCCATTGGACATTGCGCTCCCGATCCACGCCTTGCCCACACACCAACCTGTTGTAACTGCCCCAGTAGAGTTGGATATTGGGCAAGTTAGTTGCATGACTCAGGATATCCCTCTGCTGTTGCACCATCTCGGTGTTCTTGGACAATTCTTCCTGTGGAAAAGCATCGAAGAGGCATTAAAGTAGTCTCTAACCACAGCTTATTTTTACTTATGTCTTTAGTGCCGCCAACTCTTCATCCAGCCTCTCTATCTGTGCCTGAACACTGACCTGATAAGCACTGTCCCCTACTAGTGGCTGCAAAACTTCATGGTATGACAAGCCCTGGTTGCAAAAAGAATCACACATCTCTCTCTTTACTTCCCCCGATAAACTGGCAACTCTTACTACCTGGTGCTGAAATTAACTCCTGAGGGAATAACACGGAATGGAACGGGGCCCCTCCCATGCCGATAAACACTACCCTGTCAAATTTCAAGTCTGATTTTTTTTTTGAGATGTTTAATTGGAGATGAAATCCAACTAGTCATTGTCCAGAAAAAGGAAGGCCATCTTCACTTATTTTCATCAAATCTGCAAAACAGCCAGTGCTCTGGGGCCCTTGAGTTTAGCTTGTGATTGCTGAGGTAACTGAAGCTGACACTGTGACAGGCCTCTCTCACTCTCTTTTCAGTATTCTTCAGACCCGGTTCTAAAAACCCCAGTTGTTAAGGCTGGCTGAGTTGAGAGATGGGTGGCTGATTCACAGTACTAACACTCTTGCCTTTTGTATTCCTTTTCTGAGGCAGACGTGGGCACAGAAAAGGCAGAGGTTGAGAGTAACAAGTTACTAGTAATGTAGTTACATGGAACGAATCATTTTTTAAAGTAACAAAGGCATGAAGATACATCAGAAAAGTAACAAAAGGGAGAATAATGATACAAATTCTGGGGCAGGTGGTACACAGAACATTTTCTAATTACTTTTCCTAGTTCCTTGTAAAGGATATGTATACAGGCATTTTGAATAGAATGGGTCACGTTTTAGGCCACCAAACCTTAATTTCTTTTTTCAAATAACACCATTTCCTCCATGTACAACAACCATCATCATCATCATTGTGGAACTGTAGAGCGGGAAGGGACCCTATGGATCATCAGGTTTAGCCGATGTCAAGGAATTACATCGGGTACTGAACTCCCAACCTCTACCTACACCACTGAGCTATCCAGCAGTTCATGTAATGGGTTCCTTTTTAAAATCCCTCATCTGTTAGAACAACATCAGCTCACACTGAATGAATTGTGAGATATTTTCTGACTCCAAGAGAATTCCAGTATATAGAGAGAGTTAACAGGCTACAATTAGAATTACTATCCTTCGTCATTTGCATGTCCTTACCTGGCTGAAGAGATGCCCCAAAATCATCTCAGAGCTTGAAGATGTGAGGCCAGTCAGCTGAAGGAAAAATCAGAATAAGGTCAGGGGAGACGTACAATGGACCCTATTTAGAATGTGTAACATTGGCTTCTTCATGAAAAGAACAGAAATTAGCTCAGTTCCCAGTGGGAAGGTAGAGATTTTTGAGACTGTGATCCCTTCAACATATCAGGCATCATTCAGACCAGGGGTAGGCAACTCCCAGTTCTCCAGAAGTTGCTAGTCTGCAACTTCCATCATCCTTCGCCATTGGCTATGATGACTAGGGCTGATGAAAGTTACAGCCTGACTACACGTGGAAGCCACAAGTTGGGCGCCTTTGACTTAAAGCACAGACAGTACTTTGCAACGTAAGTCCTTTGCTTGCACCATCGAGTTCCTGCTGCCTGACTCTCACCTTCCTGACATCAGGGAGGACACACATCCTGCGTGGAAGCAAGAGGTGCCTTCCTTATTTCACAAACTCCCACACCCAAAAGTTGGGAAAGAGGAATCCCATCAGAAAAAAATAACTGGGAATGCCACCTACCCAGATTCTAAGCTGTTTGCTTTTGGGGTGAAGTGAGGGAGATGGCTTGAGCTTCTGGCTCTTTCAAAAGCTTTGGTCTCATGTGATGCCAGATCATTATCTTTAATTGCAAGAAATGTTGCAATTATTATTTGTAAGGAACGGCTAATGAATGGACTTGGGGTGGGGGAAGAGGTTCAAATGGACGGACTCCCTCTACACTGGATGAAATGTGCACTATCCCACTCCTTATACCCTGTGTAAAGTCTAAAGTGAAAAAAAACACTGAATATTTAATGTAGATAAGCTGAAGCTGTAATGATGAAATGATGTGTTCACATGAGCAATGGAATTTTTTTTTTCTTTATCAGCAACATGGCACACATTTTTAGTAGGAGCGTGACAAGACAGGCGGGTGCTCCATAGCCTGGAGGGAATGATAACTGAAGTCTTTATAGAAGAAGAGCAAGAGACAAGAAGACAAGGGAGCTAGAGGCATCCCTCTTGAAGGAACCGATGCCGCACCCTCAGCAAAGGCTGAGGGAAATGCCCTTTGAGAAACAAGGGCAGATTGTGCACCAGTAGCTGATTTGGTAAGGTTGTGGGGGGGGGATCACAGAGGGGCAGCTGGAGGTGCCACACAGCGGTTCATCAAAGAATGCAAAGGTCTTGAGGCAGCCGCTGAAAAATGTACAAAAGGGGATGATAAGCTGCAGCAGAGAAGGAGGAGAAACAGGGCCACTCCATCAGCCCTGCTGAAAGATTAGCTTCCATCAGGCTCCTCCTCTCCTTGAAGAGTTTCCAGCTGGTCCTCATGAGAGTTCCCATTTCAGCTACAAAACCCGTGGTTGAGTTTTTCTTCCCTCTCCATCCTTCCCCCCCTTTTTTGTGATGCATCTGTAGACTGTACTTCTGCAGTTAGGGACTGCGATTGCATTTACGCTACTCTTTTTGGCTAAAGAGGGGGATTAAAATGATGAATTGCTTATCATCAAGAGCCCTACAGAAAAAGGTCAGCACAAGTGAAGTTCTGACATAATGGTTCTCACTGTCCAGGAAAGGATATGGAAATAAGCCTAGCTTTGAGTCAGAGCCAAAGAAGTCTGACAGATCCATTGTGGAGCACATGCTTTGCATGCAGGTCCTACGTTTCATCCCCAGCATGTCCCGATAGGGGTGGAAGAGATGTCTGTCATAATTTCCAGAAACACTGGGCTAGATGGACTCAGCACAAGGCAGGTTTCCATGTTCTTGAGAACCAAAAAATAAGTACAGAGAGTCCTTTTGGATGTTCTGAGAGATCCAATATAGGTATTGCCCCTGAGAGAGTTATTCAGGAACGCCCACGAGGAAATCCACACCAGGAAGACGTGTATATGATATTTTCATGGGGGAGAAAAATATGCCATACTCTGGGGTGGAGCACCTGTGGCCCTCCAAATCTTGTTAGACTGCAACTCCCATCACCACTGTCTCAGGCTGATGGGTGGTGGTGAAATCGAACAGCGTTTCTGTAGTGGGGTAAGCGCACGCTGCCCACCTGAATGTGTGCCAAGTAAAGGCAATCACATAAAAGTCAAGCAAAAGGGAAGTCAGTGGGTTTTCCGATAGAGAAGGAAAATGTGAAGGAACACTACAGGTGAGAGGGGAAAATGACAGGGGATAGACGGGGCATCAGAGGGTGGGGGAAGAGCAGTAGAACTGAAAGATTCAAAAGAACTTTCTGAGACAGAGTCAAGTTTGTCTCTTGACTTCTCATTTATTTGGTTATGCTGTCTGTTTCAATCCACAGTAGTCCAAAATAACACTTGAGGATTATGCAGACCCAGATAGGCCACCTGTGTATTTTTGGCCTACAACTCCCATCAGCCCCAGCTAGCATAACGTGTGGTGAACCAAAAGAGCCAAAGTTGGCCACCTCTCTTTCACATTAAAGGCTGATTGCTAGTTTGCTGCCCCTCCCCAGCTGGAACTGAGTAAACAGGCACATTTATGCAGCCAACAGACACCTTCTTTCCATCATCCGTCTCCTCTCCTCACCTTGTGAGCAGCCCAATCCATCCAGCCCTTGGCATTGGGGTCAATGTTGATCAGAACCAAACCCTCCACAGTGTTTGCATGAAGGAGCTGGGGGCAAAATAATAACACATTATTATTATCATTTTAACAATATAACAAAACAGAATTCTAATGTGCTTATCACACTGCCTCACTACATGGTGGGTAATCCGATGCAAGCAGAACAATGAAGGAGACATTAATAGAACAGGACAGGCCATTATTTACCATAGTTGGAAGAAACAACTTTTGAATCCCAGGTAATACTTCCATAAGTAGAAATAAATTTGCATAACTAGGAGAAAGTTTCTAGTTGAGACCTTTCCTGCTTATTCTGGTTTTCTACTGGCATTCAGACATGAGCCCTTATATTTAGAATCTGTGGTCCATCCGATTACTTAATTTTGTAATACATATAGACCAGGCCTCATGTAGCCCTTACACAATAGCTTTCTTTAAAAAGACAACCTCCAGATGATTTAGACTGCAAGTCTCATTATCCCTCACCACTGGAGCTAATCGAAGCTGTTGTCCAAAACATCTAGAGGGCACCAGAGTAAGCAAAGTTGCCTTATAAGGTGAGCTAGAATCATTGACCCCACATTGTAGACACAGGGAGTGGTGCAGGGTGTGAAGCTGAGGAGAAAAAAACCCCAGCTTCTCTAAGGCTCTCTCATACCAATCAAACTGAAAGGATGCTTCATCTATGCACAGGTAAGATCTCCATTACTCTAGCAGATAGAAGTGTCTTGCAGTTATGTTGGACAGCTTACTAGAAGCGCCAGCAGAAAGGAAAAAGCAAACTGAATGCTTAGAATTATTAAGAAAGGAGTATAAAACAAAACGACTAATGTATTATCTTTCAAAAAAAAACGAGGGTGTGGCTGCACTATGCAGGAGTTCTGACCACCCTCTCTGAAAAATGGTTATCACCGCCTTAGAAAAATTACAGCATGATAGTGATAATGATCCATGTGCTGGAAACACCTACTGCCTGAGGAAACACTATGGTACTTGGAAGTCTTTGAGTTAAGAAAAAGAAAAATTTACTGAGAGAGAAGCATAGCAGAAGTTCATAAAATTACAAATGTTATAGAAAAAGTAAAAAGAGTACAGAGGATGAGGATCACCTTAAAAGGCAGTGGAGAAATATTTTATATAAAATAAAAAAAAATTTCTTCTCTCATATTTGGTGAGCCTTTTTACCACACAATACCTGAGTAGATTTGTAACAGGAAAAAAAAGCATATATTGTTAAGATGGTGAAGCATTACTTGCAATGCTTAGTTAACCTATGGAAGTCAGAGGCCAGCTACACATACTGTTTAGCCTGCTATTTGGGGGGCACTGCTGGAATGGGATGGTGCTCTCTTAAAGGTAGCGATCAGATGATGTCTTTGCTAGACACACCAGCCTGCCCCCAGAGTATTCCCAACCACACCTTTCTAGCTCTTGTCAAAGAGCTTCTGTCCTTCTGGTGTGAGTAGGATTGCTCTGGTTTGGATTGGGTCCAGTGCATGTGATCACTGGAAGTAATTCAAAGGAAGCCTCCCTCTTTCAATGTGCCAATATCCTGATGTGGCTTAATAAGTGAGCCACTTCAGGATATTGGCAAATTAATCACTTCCCCTGCTTGGCAGAAGGGCAGGGTAGGTGGAAAAAATTATCTTGACCATACGTTGACTATTAGTGATGTGCTACATCACTTACACAGAAATAAAAGTAAAAAAATTAAAGAAATCTTTTCTTTGCCTCACCTTAAAGGGCTGGTCAAGAAACTACTTGCGGCCAAATCTATGGTGATGGCTTTGGCTGCAAGCAGTTGCAGCCCTTTATGAGAAGGCAACGCGTTTTTTTAAATAACTGATACAGAGCATCAGCAATGGTCTATATATAGTAAAAAAAAATATTTTTCCCACTTTCCCTGCTGAACAGGCGAAGTGATTAATTTGCCAATATCCTGAAGTGGCTTGCTTATAAAGCCACTTTATGATATTGGCAGGTGCCATTTCCATGTGAATGGCAAGCTTGATTAGAAAGATTGTTCCCAAGTGGCCCACACTAGCTCACCTCCTGGCTGTTAGTGTACCTGTCCTCTCACTTGTAATGACACTTGGTAATTTACAACTGAGTGCACTATAAGGTTTTTCACTATGACATAGTGTACATTCATGTACTTTTATGAGAACAAGCATAAGTGAAACAAAACAATATTTTATATCAGTATTTATATTTTATATCAAAGAGTTTTGTACAAATGATGTGCCAATTAATGACTTTTGACTACGGTAGCTAAATAGGGATACACCTCCAAATACCAGATGGTGGAGACATGCAACAGAAGAGATCTGTTGCCTCAGTGCCCAGCTCATTGTCTTCCCAGAGGCAGCTGGCTGGACAGTTTTGAAAATAGGATGCAGTACTCAATGTACCCTTGGTTTAATCCAACAGTGCTCTTCATATGTTAATGATTTTCTCTCCTCCCCCACCCCCGGTTTTTTTGGTTGAGCCAAAATTTGAACCAGAGCACCGCTCAGTGTTGTTGACGCCTTACTGCACTTGCTCTCATACAGGACTTTCCCAAACCACCTCTACCCTTTTCAGGCACACTCCTCCAGAATTGAAGCGAATGTGGTGAAACGACTAGAAGGTCAGACTTGATCTGTCCTGGGCTCAAGTCCATCACTCAGCCATGAAATTTGCTGGGTAGTCTTGAGTGACTCACTACTTCTCAGCCTAACCTACCTCGAAGATAACCCTGGGGTGGGGGTTGGGACACAGTGAATGCCATCTTTAATTCCTTAGAGGAAAGACAAGATATACCGTATTTCGTCACTCAGCCATGAAATTCGCTGGGTAGTCTTGAGTGACTACTTCTCATCCTAACCGACCTCGAAGATAACCCTGGGGTGGGGGTTGGGACACAGTGAATGCCATCTTTAATTCCTTAGAGGAAAGACAAGATATAAATGCAATAAAATCATCATGTTATGAATGTCCAGATGAAATATCTTCCTATGATGCTAAACTGGGGCAAGCAACCAGTTGAATCCTTCTAGATGCTGCTCGATGACAATTCCCAGCACCCCTCACCATTGGTAAGGCTGGACTAAATGGATAGGGCTTGCCATCCAACAATATCCTGGGCATCAGGGTTGCCCACCTTTAGACTAACGGAGCAGGTCCTCTCATTCTACTTACTGTAGAAACTGAGGCGGAGTTGATGTCTCTCAGCTGTGAACTGAACCCTAATTGTTCCTAGTTTTCTTAACGACTGCAATGTATCACACTAGTTCTCTGCTGAAATCAGTTTTGGAGCCATCCTTCCAACACACTCAACTCAACAAACAACCCAAACCTCCCTCTTGCAAGACCCATTTCACGCCAATGGCCTGTCATGATTAGGACACAAGGAGCCATACAGTCAGTGGCCTGAGTCTTCTGTTACTTCTCAAGCATCCAAGCCACAGTAAACTGAAGTGACCACAGCCGCTTGGCACAATGACTATGGATCTAATGTCTCCTCACGTTACATGTGCTGGGCCCCATCCCACTTACACTGTAGCGTGCCAGGATGTAAGCACCAGCTCCAACTCCGATTCCAATGATGCTGGTAAAGCTGCAGGAGGGAGGAAAAGAGAAAGGACAGTTACAAAAGACACAAAGGATCAGGAGCTACCTTGCTTCTGCTGTCTCTCTGTGTGTGTGTTTACAGAAAGTTCCAGTGGTGATTGTCATTAGCTTATCTTGTTACTTTTTTACAGATGTATTGAGTGTGCACTTTGAAATACCAGATTTTGCCTTCTGATTTCTTGACCTCCCCCCCATCCTTTTCCTCCACGCATGTGTGTGTAGTATGTTTTGCCTATATTTATCTTTCTTTATATAAATATGCATGTTTTCAGCAAATTCACGTCAGAAAAGCCTAGGCTGCAATAAATGCATTTGAAGTTCCAGGACCTTTTCTTTAACTTCACATTTTTTGTTAAAGAACATGGGTACCATCTGGAACTATAATAATTACTGGTTAATATGCAACAGTGAAGCTGAATAGACCAGGATTCTTGGATTAGCAAAAGAGAAGGGGGGGAGGTTTAGGATGAGGCCGAAATTCTTTCTTAAAAAGCAGAAACACACTGGGAAGCAGGGGAGTCCTGCACTCTAACAATTCCCTAGGGAATCCGTGAAGCTAAGAGCCAGTGAGGATTCTAGGAATGGTGAGTTGCATGGATTAAAACAAGAAAGATTTGGACTGCTAGCTTCTGTCTATAGCAGTGCCAGGTGTGAAAAGCAAGTAGTGTGTGGTGGGGGTAGAGTGTGAACCAGCTCTTTGGAATGATGCTCAGCTTTTAATAGTGATATGAGGAACAGATGTTCAGTAAATACACCCTATCATCAAAGCACTTCTCAGATGATGAAAGCTGTGCCTACTACCCTTTTTTTAAAAAATTGTCACATACTTGTCAACAGCACTGGAACTTTTATGAAAACATCGACATCAGGAAAAAGAAAGGACACGCTCCCCCTCCCCCTCTTGCCAAGAGGTCTCTGCTCTGTGACCAGCTGCATTAACAACCTCACAGCCAATGCGAGAACGGGTGTGCAAAGAGGAGGTAGCTGGAACAGAGGATAGGGCTGCATATGTGATTTCCCTTCTGCTCGGTGTTTAGGAAGACAGAGATCTAAGCCAATATCTTTGAAGGTTTAATCACATCTCTGAGCTGTTTCTCTATTTAGTTTTCTTATTCATGGAACACTATGATTTTTCTGATTTCCTCCTCCATTCCCCCTTGGGAAGCAGATGAGAAGTCCCTGAAGAATGTTGTTTCTCACCCCCAAGTGCGCACATGTGTGGGGGTGTTTATGGGGCTTGGAAAGAGAAATGGACACACAGAGATTCATCCCATCATGACTCACTTGACGTATTGCAGGATGCAGGGGATCATGTCAGCCAGCTGGTCCAGAGAAGGATATTGATACCTAAGAAGGGAGCAAAGAGCAGAGGCTGCGTTAGATGGCCAGACTTTATCCCCATCACACCCAACAGTGCGGGTGGGGCAGGAATGGAGGCTGCAAGGCTCACCCCACAGGGAAGGCCGGGGCACCCTCCTCCATGCCAGGCGCGTCCACATGTATCACCACGAAGTTCTTTATGATCTCTTGCATGTCCTCATAGTGGAAAAGGGTGTCGAAGCACGAATGATCTGGGGGTGGGGGTGCGGGTAGGGAGACAGAAGAAGGGGGTGTCAGGCTGCAGAAGGGCAAGAGATAGTGCCCTCAGACAGGCAAATCAAAACAGGGGTGGCTCTAGGACGAGGCAGGTACCAGATTACCAGGTGCAAGGCAGCAAAAGTTATACTTCATTTTCTTTTTTTTAAGCATCAGAGGTCCTCCTGGGATGTTCTACCTCCCTACACAAGGCTAGACAAGCTTACTCAGAAGGAAGGCCAACTGTGAGCAACAAAGTCTACTCCTAGTTGAGAATGCACAGGATTTCAGCTTAAGGCACCAAACTGTCTTCAGCTGGCTTGGCACAAGAAGAAAAGAGTGCATTCAGACAAGTGGGAAACGTTTAATTGGAAAGTTCCCATCTTCCCCCCCTGCAAGGAAGCTAGCTCTGTGGGAGAGCCTTGCAGATTCTTAAAGGAGGAACTGAGGATTGACCCAAATGGGTGGTGGAGGAATTCCAGAACAGAGCATAAATCACACTGGAAACGTAAACGATAATATGTCCGTTCTTAACATTTCTAATCAAAGATTGAAACTAGAAGACAGGGATCCCGATTTCAAGGTCCTTGGGTGTTTGATTTGGCTATGGTGACACATGTCTTAGATATATCCTCTTGGATTATGGTGACACACTCAATGAGGGGCTGCCTTTGAAGATGGTTTGGAAACTTTAGCTGGTTCAAAATGCTACAGCCAGTTTCTTAACCAGGGCTGGTTATACAGAGTATATAACTCCCATGACACCGGGTTCACCAGCTGTAGTCCCGTTTCAGGGTCCAATTCAAAGTACTGCTTATATCCTAGGTTCCCAACCTTTGTTACTCGGATGTTTTTGAACTGCAACTCCCAGAAACCCCAGCCAGCACAGTTGGTGGTGAAAGCTTCTGGGAGTTGCAGTCCACAACTCCTGAGTAAGCCAAGGTTGAGAACCAGTGGTTTATATGACCTATAAAGCCCCATACCTACAGTTTGAGGCCAGACTATCTAAACTCCTGTATCTCCCGTCATGAGCCTTTTCAAGTCTTAAGATCTTCAGGGGAGGCTCTTCTCTCAGCCTCGCCTCCCTCTCAGCCACACTTGATGGCATTGCAAGAGATGGCCTTCTCTGTGGCTGCTCCCAGGTTGTGAGATGCCCTCTCTTAGAAGATTAGGCGGGTCTCCCTTTCTCTTTTACTTCTGGTGACGGGTAAATAGGTTTCCTTTTAAAACAGGTTTTTAAAGCTATATTGGGCATTTAAGTAGGAATCTTCTAAGATTTGGTGGAGTAAAATGAATTTTTCAAAATCTTTTTTAAAATGACAATTATTTTTATACAGTATTATGCTATACTGAATTATTTTTATTGAGCAATTTATTATGGTTTTAACTTTACTTGCATTTTAATTATTGTGAGGCACCTTTAATCCTCTTATGGGACAAAGGCAAAACAAAACAAACAAAGCCAGGCTGCCTGGGCTTTCTAGAAGTTGAAGTCCAAAATATCAGAGGACATACCCACCTCTTCCATTACAAGCTATCTTTAACTCACATTTAGAGCAAACCTGCAAGGGGGTTTACAATCACCTGAATTTTCTGCATAGGGAATTAAATGCTCGACTACACGCTAGATTCATCTGTGAACAGCAGCTCTACTGTTCTATGGGAAATGCTGAAGGTTTCCTTACCAAAAAGCAGCAAAGGCTGAAGAGCATAGATGTGTTCTCTACTGTGGAGAAAGGACTGCTGGCTACATTTCTGTGTCCTTTATTTAATCTCCTTTTGTTAGAGGCTAATTATCTCTATGAGAGCTGCAAGGGGTGGGGAGTAGCAGGAAAAATTAACTGCAAAGGACAGATAAACAACAGAAGGAGAAATGAACTCCTTCTTCCACAAATGGTTTCTGTCATCCTGACTTCTTGGCAGGAGAGATTCCAAGACGGCAGTAAGAATAGCTTTCATCAAGGTGCACGTAGGCTGGCTCTCGGGCAGACAAATTGACTTGCTCAAGACCATTTATTGAGTCTGGGATATGAATTTAACTCATCCTCTTTCAAAGCAAACAATCAGTGCTGAAATTTTGGAGCATTATCCAACTGTGGTCCTTATTCTTTAAGAGATGGGCAGGAACCACTAGTTTGGTGGTTTGTCCTGGTTCATTTGCCACTGCTACAGATATTTGGTGGTTTGGTGCTCTACTGCCTCTGGTGGGCTCCCAGACAGAAACAGGACCTGGAAAAGACAGGGCAGGGAAGCCAGGATGCGCCTTCCGCGTGGGCGCTCATTGGAGGGGATGGAGCACCAAACTGCTGAGCATCTACCTGTTGCAGCAGTAAACGAGGTTGGGAAGACCCACCAAACTGGCAGTTCAGGCCCATCTCTATTCTTCAGGTGATGGGATCAGCTTAGAAGGGTCCCTGACAACTATTTAATAAGAACATTTGTCCCAATTTAGCTCCTGTTAGCTCGGATGGTTATAACCTTTTGTATAGCATCTAGAGCGGGGAGACATCTCTGTATCTGGTCAAAGTGACGCGACAGGCTCTCTATTTTAAATAGCTAGTTTGCCTCTAGGTTTCTTCTCCCTACACCTCATATCACTACTAGTCTGCATATGACTGGTCAGACTTGGGATTCTAGTAAAAGAAACCACAATATTGATCCCCTACATATGGGCTGATACATAGAAAGTTCCTGATCCTAGTGGAACAAGGAGTATGGGGGGGGGGGAATTCCCTAATGACACAAAAAGCCCTTGAAAGCTCCATGAGCTACGCTACAGGGTGAACATCTAAGGTCTTTTTTTTTTTTGAGGAGTAGTAGGTGGCAAACTCCCAGCCTCCCCTGCCCCTCAACCAGATGGGCATTCCCGATCTTACGGTTTTGTCCCACATCATGGTACGTGAGGATGGCAGGACGTTTGGGTTTGGGTGTTCCATGGATGGTGATTGTCACAATTCCATAAGGTGTCTCCACCGTGTGTTTCTATGGAGGAAGAGAGACAGAAAACCACGAATAAACACAGTGTTCCAGCGCTAGACAACTACAAAACCAGTTATACTGAACACACAGAGGAAGGATTGGGATCCTGCTTAGCAGCCATCCATCCCTGATTTTCACACACATAACGTCTCTTGGGAGCAAGCAGTACATGCATACCTTTCCCTGCACAATCCTGACACCACTGAAATGTAACATTCAAAATCACACATACATAAATCCTGAAAACGTATGAGATTCTATGCAAATGGCATAGTCTGCATGTATATGCTGGAGCCTACCCCCTCCCTCCACATGTTGAGTGTGCCCTGCTTTTAGCAGCTATGGTTCAAACAGATATATTTTGCATCCCTTCCAACCCTTCTATTTAAGAGACCTCAAGAAGCAGGGCCGAGAGAGAAGACTTCTAGAGCAGAGAGTCAACAGAGAAATTGTTAAGTCAAAACATCATCCACCACCAAGCTGGTGCTCACTGTTCCTTGCAAGTAAGGCTGTGTATATATAGAATGTGCATGTAAAATGAAACTTAGGGTAGAATCAAAATTACACACACATGCACAGTGAAAGAGTGCGTGTGTGTGAGAGAGAACTTTCCATACTTTTACTTTGCTTATGCTACTCAAGGAAAGAAGGAAGCAGCTATATTATTCAAAATCTGGGTCCACCCCAACTAGTAAAAATTCTGCCATGAATCTATTACCCTTGGTTGCCAAATTATCCCAAACCCCATCCTGACTTACTCGTGTCCTTAGCTTCAGTTTGATCTAAACAGGAACAAGAAGAAGATGGGACTTTGCAAATCTTAGAGATAATCATTTGTTCCTTCTCCAATATTTGTGTATGTGTGGCTACTGCAGATACATCTACACAGCATGGCAAAAAAGTTGGTGACCTTACTGCTCCGTCTCTTTCACCCCCACAAACATCTCCAATTTGTAAGATTTTACCAGATGTTCCTTTATACTTTCATCTCCCTGAGGACCAAATCCTTGGTGCTTCATTTTGTATAATAATAATAGGTAGGTAGGTAGGTAGGTAGGTAGGTAGGTAGGTAGGTAGGTAGGTAGGTAGGTAGGTAGATAGATAGATAGATAGATAGATAGATAGATAGATAGATAGATAGATAGATAGATAGATAGATAGATAGATAGATAGATAGATAGATAGATAGATATTAAAAGGCAGCTTTTCCTTTTTTGGCCCCAACTAAACTTTTCTTGTACTCAAAAGAGCACTCAACAACATCTAGATTGGTAGCTGCACATATACGAAACCTATTCACTGTCCCTACATGGGGGCACCAGTATGTACTACAGTTTACTTTTATAGCCTACTTTCCTCTGTGTATCTGTTCAGTAATGTTCAAATTAAAAATGATCTCTAAGCCCTGTTATGTCCTTGAGAACACACCTGAAGGACGAAGCAGTTCAGAGGGTGTGACTCATAGGGAACGACCCAGCTTGGCATTTGTCATCTTAATATATTAAGTGCTGCCTCCCCTGCAACATTCCAGAGCAAGTGCTAAATTCAGTGCAGCAGGACGGCCCATCGCGGCCTTATCATCACTCCCATGATGCAAAGGGGAAAAGTTGGATTGAGATTCAAAACAATCACATTCTGTTGTGTGTGTTTTTTTTAAAAAAAGTCCATTGTTTATTCTCCCAGTTCTTCCTGCTTAAGGCTTTCTCTTATGGTGCACAAGGGAACTCAATGTGTTCAAAAGCAGCTGTAGAGGCAGGGGAAGGCTGAGCCATTTGGCAGGGCTCCTCGACTGCAACGCAGTAACACAAGCATGAAAAGAAGGGCAAAAAGTGGAAATAAAGGAGGTAGTTTGGAGGGAGAGGCAGGAGCGCTTGAAGAGCCACGAACTTTCAGAGCTGCAGTGAGGGTGTCACAACCAACCGGAGCAGAGTGGGAGCGAGTAGTTATAGAGGGATAGTAAAGATAGAGAAAATTATTATTTAGGATTGCATCTACGCCAGCCTCCGTTATCAGAAAGTATATTTTCCCATCTCTGGTGGCTATGAGGAAAGAAAAGGTCCACCAAGCATAATGCCAGCCCCCAAACCTTATATTGCAGCCTGACTGTTGTACTTGTTAAATGAATTCTAAGCACTGCATTCAGGCAGCACACAAGCCCTATTCAGAGGTTTATCTCAAATGGATTAATGTGAGGAAAGCCACAGGGGAGCAGGATTCTGCCAAGCAGCCGTTGCTCTGAGACTCTAAGCACTGAATTGCTCCATACAGTGCAGACAGGCTGTAGGGAGACAGCCTTGCCACATTTAGTTGTTCAGACAAAAGGTTGTAGCCTGAGCTGCTCATAACTAAGGGCCTGTCCAGAGTGGCCATTTTGGTGTGGCACGGATTGGGCTGCAAAGAGTAAGGTGAAATCAGAGGATCGATGTGCCATTTGGTGCGATCATCCTATCTAAATGGCATACTGATTCTTCGTGTCAGTTATATGCTTCCACTAATCATCTGTGGAGGGTCAGGGGCAGTGAAATTATTTTTTTACAACTACTAGACCAGGGGTTTTTAAACTCAATTTACCTGGGGGCCGCTAGAGACAGAGTCTGGGTGAGGCTGGGCCGCATCAGCTTTTCCGCCAAGCGGAGCAAGAGCCCGAGGAAGCCGCCCAGGAGGTTCCTTAGCCGACAGACAGGTTCTGGATAGAGGGTGCAAGAGGTGCTGTCTTGGGAGAGAGCCGGCGAGCGAGGCAAGGCTTTTTTTAAACTCTTGACAGCAGAGGATGTGTGGGCGCTTTGGGGGGGCAGGCAAGGCGAGGGCCACAAACTATCATCTGGGGGGCCGCAAATGGCCCCCAGGCCGCATGTTTGCGACCCTGCAGCTAGACGGTAACTGATGAGATGAATCACTTTGATTAAATTTAATTTTTCTCTTTGCCTCTCTGTGTATTGCCAGTCCAGAAATGGCCCACAGTCACAGTTTCGAGCAGCAATGCACAGACAGGCAAAGAAAAATATATATTTTAAAATTTAACTGAAGTGATTCATCACATCAGTGATGGTCTAGAAGACACAATAAAAATAACTTCACCTCCCCTGACCCTCCACAGACAATCAGGGGAAATTGTTCCATTTCCTATATCCTGAAGTGGCTTATGAAACTGACCAAAAATTTGCACCAAAAGATGCTACAAGGCTCTTGTTTATTCCATTCCAAGCAACCACACTCAGGGGGAAGGGACTAAACTGGAGCCCTCCTACCTGCACCACAAGAGTAGAACTCTGCTTCACCTCCCCTGACCCTCCACGGACAATCAGGGGAAATTGTTCCATTTCCTATATCCTGAAGTGGCTTATGAAACTGACCAAAAATTTGCACCAAAAGATGCTACAAGGCTCTTGTTTATTCCATTCCAAGCAACCACACTCAGGGGGAAGGGACTAAACTGGAGCCCTCCTACCTGCACCACAAGAGTAGAACTCTTTGATGGGGGTTCAAAAAGATGCGGGTTGAGGCAAAGTGGTCCATCCCGGTGATGTACATGTTTGGATGCCAAAAAAGAGAGCAGAACAACCTGACCCATCAGCACATCACACAGCAGGACAGATGCCCATATGGACAAGCTCTAAATATTTATTTGATGGAAGTTATATACACTTCCACAGCATAACTCATAATGCAGGTCTGCAGCAAAAGTTCTGCCAGATGGAGTCTGGGCTACATAAAAGTCAACAATGGACATTTAATTCCACAGGCCCTAAAACAATATGCTAAAGGACGTGACAGCCTCTATCACTGATTTCCCAGTGTGTACCCCAGGAAAACAGCCAGTCTGGGCATCCCACGCAATCTGCATCACCCAAGAAATGGTGAGCCACTTCGGAGTACTTTATACCCCAGAAGCCCTGGCAAGGATCGTGGTCAGTCGGAACTGACTTGGCACCATTTAATTATTGATTACTGTTTTAAAGGCAGTGGCAAGCAACAAACACAAAGAAAATGTATAAACTCCCCCAGGACTGCCCATATAATTAGGCAGAGTGAAGCTGCTGCATGAGGCAGCAGACGCTGGATGTGTCATGAAGATCCTGCAAGCTTATTTACTGTGATCGTGTTTTTACTAACCAGGAAAGAGAAGAAGCAAGAGTGAAAATAGTCTTTTTATGCAATAGGAACTTGCTTTCTGGGAGGCTGGGGGTTCCCTTTGGTGCTTCGGCTCAGGCAGCACAATGTCTTGGGCAAGCCCTGACTGTCTCCTTTCCTATATGCAATGTTTTACTGGTTGGCGGTCAGTTTCTTACAGACTGACATGATGCTAAGGAAGACAGGGCCCTTGTACCTTTCATACCAGAGCAGAGGAAAGGGCTATCAGTGGCACAAAGATGAAGAAATAGGTGGTTGCTTTCCACTTTTAAAAAACCCAGGAAGTTTCACCCCCTGCTAAGGGCCGTCACAACCATGCAAATCTCTAATGCCTCTGAGAGTTTGTTTAGTCTCTATTCACGTTCAAGTGGCAGGTGAAAACAGCTCTATTCCGACAGCATGAGTAATAGCAAACACATTTCTCCCTCTTCCTTTTTTTATGTTACTGTTATGTCATTGAAGTCTAATCTAATCTTATGCTGCTTTATCTACTTGTTTGCATACTGGTTTATCACTCGCAGCGTGACTGCTTCTGTGTTGACTTGTGATTGTTCACTACCTTGGAGAGCCTCGACACATAGATTTTTCAAAAGCTGAGTAAAAACATGGCAAACAAACAAACAAACAAACAAACAAACAAACAAACAAGGGAAACTATAACCAAGTGTTGGAATCTAGCTTCACCCTGAAGGCTGCTTGCATTCAGCATCCCAGGGAGCCACCTGCAGCAAACCAGAACACACCACTCTTTGCACCAAATTTCCCCCATTCTGCTTTTTCAGCTACATCAATATTCCATTGGTACTGAACACAGTCTAATTTTTCCCCTTTCCTCTAGTTTTTGCTTCTCCAAGCATGTCAGAATCTGGCTCTATTATTGTTTGTTTGCTTGCTTTTGACACTCGCTATCTCAGTTCACTATGAGATGAATAAATTAAGTTAAACTTGTAACCCACCCAAGCAGAATTTAGAATCCTAACAGCTGATAAGGTTTCCAAGCCAAGTCTCCTGGATTCCCTCTTTACTTCTGGGATAGAATGGAAAGTAACGTAATAGGGTGAAACAGCAGACCCGGCTGGCATTGGGTTGCAGATCCCTGTCACACTGAGTAGGCTTCTCTTGCCTCACTTACTGTCAAAAAACTGGGTGCAGGAATGACTTCATTTGTGAGGAATCAGACTGATGTAAGAAGACTTTTGCAATCAGGAAACGTGGCTATTATTTCAAGTATTTCAAGTATGCAAATGACAGTTTACCCAAGCTCAGAGTAACCCGATAATTAAACATTCCTACTTTTTTCCAGTTGGGAAAGAGAGTGCGCAAGATGATGCTCTGCTTATGACTAGCCAACAAGGTAATGACTAAGCTGCTAGAGTTGCTATACTTTTAGCCCAGGCAAGCATTCCAACTGGTGGCTTTTCTCAGCATAATGATGCATTAAAGATGCAGCTAAAAAGCTCGGGGTGCTCCTGTGTCTTTGGAAACAGTTGATTTGCAGGGAACTGAAAAGTGAAGTTTTTCAGAATATATATGGACTGTGATCACCCACTAATGTCTGTAGCATAGGTTCCTGCCTTAATGTAGGAGTAAGAGTTTTTGTAACATCTGGCAACCCCAAAGCAAACTAAAACAGGAAGCTGCTCACGATTTTATACCATGCAGCCATTCAAGGTAATACAGGGAACACTCGAATGATAGAAATTTTAATTCTGGGTTCTCATGGCTCTGCCTTCGTCACTGGACGAAACAGCAGGCGTCTACTGACAGCAGTGGCTACAGTGCTACACCAGGGAGATGTACCTGCCACAAAAAGCAAAAATAACTAACAAAGGACAGGCTGGACTGAGAGCCACGGTTCTTGGGAAAAGCTATCATGCGTTTTTTCTTTCTTTCTTTTGTCTGCTAAGGTCTGTTGAGTCTTTAAGAATTCCATAATGGAGAAATTTGAGGGAAGAGGTGCAGCCCACCAGGTGACAGCTAGAATTGCATGCAAAAAATTCCTTGAATCATCAGGTTAAAGTCCTTTATCTGAAACCGCTGCCAGTCAGCAAGAACAAGACAATCTGGGGCCAGATGGACCAAGGATCTGCCTTGGTACAAGGCGGTTTTCTATAATTTAACGGAACAGATGCAGGCACTGTGTCTCAGCACATGCAGCTGGATGGAATGGAACAGATGCAGGCACTGTGTCTCAGCACAGAGGTGAATGACAAGAGAAGCAGTGTTGACTGAACTTCAGCTTGTCATGCAACTGTAGAGTTCAAAGAAGCTCTGACCTGGGTGACTGTAGCTCATTGTCTCTTTCTCAAATAGATCCCAGAAAATTTACATTTATTGTTCCATATTCCAATTATAAAGGCTCCCTAAACTTCATTCTTTTCTCATAGGCCGTCACAGAACCTGTGGTTGGTAGCCTTTATTTTCCCCAGAGGAATACCCTGTGTGAATGTAATCCAACAAGAAATGACCAGTTTTGGAGGAAGGAAGGAGAGAAAGCAGGTCAGTGACAACCAACTGATTGCTCCTTTCATTTTGGCTATTTTAAAGTGGAGGATTTCTGCAGGTTTGCAGGATACCAGTTTTGACCCCATCAACATGGTAGGAAAAGAGAGGGACATTACCTGGCCATGTTCCTCAAGAAGTTTGGCTGTTATCAGTTCAGCATCCTAGAACACAGAGAAAGAAAGCAGAGGAGGGAAGACACACAGACAGAAAGAAAGAGTGCAAGAAGGGAGGAAGTAAGTGAGGAATCCAGAGTAGGAAGTAAGTGAGGAATCCAGAGTTATGGGATTGGGGGAGGGAAGCAGAGTAGAGCCTCCCTATCATTGGCCAAGTTCCTTAAAACAGGCATGGAACATATACAGAGACAGAATATGACAGATTCACCAGAAACCTGGCTACACTCAGAAGTTGCAAAAGAGTTATCCAAAGGCAGATCTGCTTCCTTTAATGGCCAATATTCTGCTGCTAGACCCAGCTATAGCCGCCTCACTGATTCAATGGGATTTACACAGAAGTAGACTTTAATTATTCCATAACTGATTCAATGGCTCTACTCTTAGTTGGGGGTAGCCATAAGATATCTGCCCCTGTTTCTAGTTGGCACTGCTACAGAGGACAGAAGGCATCCTTCCAAAGGGAAAGACCTACTGTACTTCAATTCTCCCGTCTGTGAAGGAAGCCTGCTGTTTGCAGACATTTCAATCAATCCACAGTGCTTCCTGAAAGCTGTCAATGTCCATACTTCAGTCCAGGTAACCCATCAGATTATACATCTGTTTATGGAAAGTACAAGTACAGTGGTGCCTTGTTTGAAGAGGAAAATTCGTTCTGTTGAAATCGCTGTTAAGCGAAATCCTTGTCAAGTGAAATGAAAAAGCCCATTGAAATGCATTGAAAACCGGTTCAATGAGTTCCAATGGGATAAATACCTCAGCTTCCAGCGAAGATCCTCCATGGGGCGGCCATTTTCAGTGCCTGTAAAGCGAGGAATCCGTCCTAAAGCACAGAGGGGAGCCATTTTGCACAGCGGCTGGCCATTTTAGAGCCGCCGATCAGCTATTTTAGAATCATCGTCTAGTGAAAAATTGGTTCCTGAAGCAGGGAACCGATTATCATCAAGCAAAATTTCCCTATCTAAACATTGTCTTGCAATCGTTATTAACCTCATCGTAAAGTGGATTTGTCATTTAACGAGGTAATTGTTAAGCGAGGCACCACTGTACTCAAGACAAAGTATATTCACTTTTCTGCCATCTTTTTTCACAGTGGCTTTGTGTAAAACACATGTCTGGGAGTGCCATGGTTCACTCGCCTCCTTGACAGGATTTCTGTGATTTTAACACAGGTACAAGAAGCAGAGATTCCACAAGGCAACGGCTTTCCTCATCCTCATCCATCCACTTGAATGTGGGTGCCACCCAGATGGCAAATGGCCCAGAAGCACTGACAGGGGAGGGGGAGGGAGAATCAGATAATCTGGAGCAGGTGTCCCTCCCGGATATCAAGTAAAAAACAAATGCTTAGATCTTGTGAGATTATGCCAGATAGGTCAAACACAACATAGTAAAATATTCACAGATAGGCAGTGCAATTTTAAAAACATGACAGGCTGCCCCTGTTTTGATCAAAATCTACCTCATGAGAATTAACAGTAACAGTTCTGTGTACAGTTACTTCCACTGCTGAGAATATCTGAAGGAGGGGGAGTGCATTATTTATTTACTTATTAATCTTACATTTTACCCTTTCATCAAATGAGCTCAAGGCAGAGTATAAAAGGTTCGCTACCAAAGGAATTTTATGAGCATGATTCTGAAGCATTTGATGGAACGGAAGGACTCTCGTGGCATCTCTTACAAGCCATCAAGCATATAATAGAGATTTGGATAAAAGCCTTACTCTTGCTTAAGACATTTTTGGCACAAGCCTCCCCACTCCCCAACTAGGACCATAAACTTTGCATCTTAGTCCTACGATATTTTTTAAAAACCTACACATTGCCTCTGGGTGAACTCAAGGATCTATCTGGCTTACAGCGTCTGCACCTACACATTTACAGAGAGTCACAATACTAGGGCAGGGCTTGGGGAAGTTATTAACAGATATTTCTTGGTCTAAATCTTCCAGAATCCACCAATTAACACAGCTTGAGAAGTTTCTTTTTTTAGACTGTCATTCCTAGCATTCCCTTGCTACTGTCTCCTCAGAAACAGGATGAGTTGATTGGTTGTTGACAGTACTCAAGATCTTGCTGACTGGGAGATTCTGGAAGTTGTAATGTCATTCTTCCATGATCTGTTGTGGAATGAATATTTTGAACACAGAAAATCCCACATGGCTCAAATTTAAAAGGACTCAGTAGCAGGGGATCAGAAAGAAGCACTGTAGCACTGGAAAACCACCTGTCAAGTCTCAGTGGACAACAATAATCTAAGAACTGCAGAGTGGGAAGGGACCCTATGGATCATTGAGTCCAGCCCATGTCAAGGAGGCCAGGTGGGGATTTGAACTCGCAACCTCTGGCTCCGACGCCAGATGACTTACACCACTGAGCTATCCAACACTGCGCTAAATGAACCCACAGCCAGACTTAGGGTTATTTTGCTTTTTGGAGGCATCTGCTCTGTCATCCTGTCTCAGCTGGGAAAGAGAAAGGAGGAAGACAGACGGGGCTGGACAAATTAAGGAACGCTGGTGATGGTTAGAGAGGCGTGGTTAGAGAGGCAGGCGAGGTTAGAGAGAAAGAGGAGAGCTGCTTTTTTGCTGACCTTGCCCGGATCAGGTGCTCCTGGGGCTCGCAGAAGCGGCTTCTCCTCTGTGATCTGCACTTCCTGGAGTTCCGTCATGGCGCCTGGGGGAGAAATCGCAAAGACACCAACATGAAGCAGTATGTTAGCTGGAAAGGTCCATCTGATGCATCTGATAAACAACAGGTTGGAGGCTGTCTAGACCGTACTTCCTGGTTGTCCCAAAAAAATCTGTTCTGCCTTAGGGCTGGTTGACACCTGTCTATAATCTTCACCTGAGTATTACACCATCAAGAGATGACTGTGGATGTGAACGTGCTATCTGGAGCAAGTGCAGATGGAACTTGCATTAGCATTGCCCAATATCACCTAGAATGCATGGTATCATTCAGTCACATGATCAGCTATCAAGAGGTGGCACATGTTCAGAGACACAAATGGGCAGCTTGGGCCCAGAGCAAGTCATGTGGTACACAACTGTGTGTGACAAGAAATGTACCTAACATTGTATCTTTTAAAATTTGTTTCTTCAACCTTCATGGCAGTTTTGGAGAACATGGGATCCCTTTAGATGCTGTTGAGCTGCAACTCCCATCACCTTTACCACAGCCAACCTAGCCAATAGTGAAGGTTGATGGGATGTGTAGTCCAGCAACATCTGGAATCCTCATCCCTGCTTTATGTGTTACATGTATGAAAACAAGACTTGTGAATATTTTGTGACCTCAAATTGGAAACTATGATTCTAGGTTGCATCCAGCTTTAGTCGCAATTAGTCATCCGGGATAATGAAGACACAACCCACTGATTTCACTTGGCCCGCTCTAATTACGAACAAAATCTGGACTGAACCCACAGTGTTTTTTTCCCTTGATTTATGACATATCCTGCACTGAATTATGTGGTCAATTTTTGGCTTAGCACTCCAGAGTGAAGACAATGAAGAAAAACATGATGTGAGGGAGAAGAGGCTGACAGAAAGTGGCTTACCAAGGTTGAACAGATTGTGTGTTAACAGAGATGAAGTTGTGAACCCAGGATTTCCAGATACAACCCCTTTGCTTGCATAATCAAGTACGGCAGAATTTCAGATAGACACCCTTTTACTGGGAAGTGGCCAGGCCCAGCCTGACAGCTAAGCAGTACAGTAGTCACTTAGTTCTGAATTCCCCAAAAAAGATGGTCCATCTGAGAAGCAATTCTAGTATGTGTATAGGTAGAATTCTTAGCCTGGGTATGGCTATGCATGCTTTTAGAATGGTGCCCCATAATTCTTGGTGAATGTGGAAGGCAGGCCCCAAACTACGTGCAATGCAGTTTGGGATTGTGGCAACAAAATATTATCTGTCAGCCCTGCAGGCAGCCTTTACAGCATAAGGGCTGCTCATTCCTGCAGGGAGTACAATAGCTGATCAAGCATTATAGTAATGGCTGTGACCGGGGAAAAGAGTATTACAACAGCCGCTACAAGAGAGAACTGCAGCTTATACAAAATACAAATGCCTGCTCTTGGCTGTTCTCCCCCTCCCCACTGAGGGCATTCGAATTCTACACCACACAATCTATACCAAGCATAGATTCCATAACCTATACAATTCTCCATAACATATTTCCATTTACTGTACCATAATTTAGCTATTTGGAGGGGTCGATAGGAGAGACATGTTAAGGTCTGATGAGATAGTTTGCTCAGAACCCGTTCATGTCTTCTGTTTAGATGCATAAGGTTTTGACACGCATTTTTATACTATCTTATCCTTTATTCCTTCTCTGGACAAGTGTATTAGGCAGCTAGAATATTAGGTTCCTGCTTAATATATGCAGAATTCTCTCACTGTGTAGGGTGAAATATATATATATATTTAGCTGTATAGGGCTTAACTGTTTGAAACGGAAATCTGAATTAAGTATGAACATGTTCCTGTTTATTCTTATTGACTCTTAAATCAGATCTATCAACAGATTGACTTCAACGAGGCAGGGAGATGTGCCCTTTCAGATTTTGTAGGATGGTGACAACAATCAGTCCTCACTGAGTAGGATTAATGGGAGTTAATAGTCCAACAACATACAGAGGGTCTTATGTTCCCCATCTGAGTGGAAGGCTACCCTCCTCTGGTGAAATGAAATCTGTGAGAGAACCCCAGACTTCTGAGATTAAATATTATAATGACTGGAGTCTTTGCAGGTGCTAATTATCTTACTGAGATCATCTATGGAGATTACGTGGTGATCTTGTCCTCTTGTTATATGCTCTCTAGTGGTCTAAACCCTGTATGTTCTGTTCTCATATTATGAATACTCTGTTTTCCTGAAAATAAGACCTAACCTGAAAATAAGCCCTAGTATGATTTTTCAGGATGCTCGTAATATAAGCCCTACCGCAAAAGTAAGCCCCAGTTAAGTGAAACCCCGCCCTCCACCCTTGTGCAGCAACCAGAAGAAGACATGACCGTATTTGAATAAATGTAGATTGTTCTACATGAAAAAAATAGAACAGCCCCTGAAAATAAGCCCTAATGCGTTTTTTGCAGCAAAAATTAATTTAAGACCCTGTCTTACTTTTTGGGAAACACAGTATTACTGAATCTGCTAATCGAACGAAATGCATATTTACTTTCAATCCCCATGGGCAAAACATACTTTTGACTAGTAGCTTTGAAAGACTGCATCCTTCTTTAGGAGCATGCCTGGATTTTAATGCCGTTAGGAGTCCTACTGCTGTTTAATGAGGACATGAGAGAGCTTTTTCAGGAGTTTCTCCCAGATTCTGGCACTCCTTTCCAAAGAAGGGTAAACTGGTCCTCTCTCTTTTATCCTTCTGCCAGCAGGCAAAGACCTTTTTATTTAGGGAGGCCTTTGGCATAGATGCTCGGTTACAGTTGAGAAGGACTTTGCCTCTTTTTCTGGATGCGCTTTTAATTTGCTCTTATGCTTTATATATGTTTTTAGTCGGGTTTTACTTTGTCATCTGTTTTCAGTACCATTTTCGGGTAGAATACAAATTTATTAAACAAAAGTAAGAAACAACCAGCTATCAGCCTATGTTTATTGAAAACTATACCCAGATACTATACTGTCTTATGAGACACAATTCCTTGGAAGTAAATTTCACTTTGCTCAAAGCAACTTCTCAAAGAACATGCTCGATTCTTTCATTTGTTAAAAAATTGAGTACAGAAATTATTTTTTAAAATGCACAGGATTGCACCCACAAATCAGCTATGGCCATCCAGATGCTTCTGAACTGCAGCTCCCATCTCTGACTAGTGGCAGAAACATCTGAAGGACATCTGCTCACTCATAACAGCCCGAGGTCTCACTTATGTCCCTAACTATGTAAAGGCTCTCTTAACCATCAAACTGATGGACTGGATCAATCCGAAGTTATGTGAACCTCTGTCTGTGTCATGACTTTACTCCAAAGTATGCAAATTGGTATTAAGTGCTGCAAATAACTTACAACTACACTTGTCTACTTCAGAGAAAGTCCGTTCTGGTTTAATGGAGCCAGCCTCCAGAGAAATGCACAAAAGATTGCAATTTTAATCTGGATCTAAGTCTGTATATTTTAACAGATTATATTTTCCTGTTTTCTTCTCCTAAAAAATTGGTGCGTCTTATGGAAAAATACGGTAAGTGCTGCAAATAACTTACAACTATACGTGTCTACTTCAGAGAAAGTCTGTTCTGGTTTAATGGAGCCAGTCTCCAGAGAAATTCACAAAGGATTCAATTTTAATCTGGATCTAAGTCTGTATATTTTAGTTACACTTATCCAAAAGATATGTAAAGCTTAAATATAGCAATTGTGAGAGTAGAAACTGATCGAATTAATAAAGTAATAGTTCTATTATATCCACCATGTAGGTTGCTTATGCTGAGTATAAGTTTCAAAAATATAAATCAGTATCTCAACCAGTTTTTTTCTTGAAACTTAAAGCTATCCATCCTGACCTCACGTAGCACGAAGTACATGTGAAATGGACAGTAAGTACATGAAGTTAAATAAATAAATAAAATGTTCACTGGGTAGCCGTGTGAAAATAACTCTTACTTTCTCTCAGGGCTGATTTTCACACAAAGGCATATCTATAGGTCTCTCTAATGCACATTTATCCAAAAGTAAGCCCACTGTGTTCAGCAGAACCTTTTCATCAGGATAAGTTAAGTTAAATAAATAAATAAAATAAATAAGCATGTAGCTCTTCAGTGTTGCACATCTGAGGATGGCAACTGAGTGCACAAAAATATGCCACCAAAACCCCACCATCTCTGGGGCACATATGGAAGTTCAGTCTCAAGAATAGGAAAGATGATTGCTCAGTCACACATGGCCATCATCACTTGATATTGCAGCCATCCAGTGCAGAATAGCTCTTGGCCTAATCTGTTACACAGAGTTGTTAATCCTCAGGAAGGGGCCAGTAGCCATTGTAAAGCCCTTTGCAGAACTTTGTGCAGTTCCCTACACTGAGTTTGTGTACACTCTGCCTGTACATATCCTGATGTGTCTTGGAGTTGGGCAAAGAGTTAAATGGCATTGCCCCTGGGCATCTTAAGAACAGAGACATGCATGTGTGCACACACGCACACATCTAGATCCCCAACACAATGAACTGCACTCTTTAAAACCTAGACATCCGGACCTTCTGCATGATGGAACTTCCCTTTCCCATCCTAGGCACATGGACTAACAACTAGGCATTCTACAGGGAATATAAATCCCAAATGGGGTTAATCACTCACTCTCCCTAAACATCCTATCTCACTGCACTGCTGGGAGGATAAAATGGGAAGGAGAAGAAGCACATAGACCTTCCTGAGCTTCTCGAGAAAAAAGTGAGATTTAAAGCTTTTGTGATAAAGAAAAGAAAATGAGAAGCCACCACCCTGTTTGATCACTTGTTGATCCTTCATCTACTACCAGTATTAAAGTAGGACTGCTAGAAGCCCACAAGTACAAGCAGTTCCCTACTTTCCTAGGCTCTCTCTTCCAAATGCTGTGGCTGGTTTCCACTTTGGGCTCCATCCAAGGATCCCCCTCCTGGGCCATAAATAGCTGTTTTGATCACCGTGACAAGGGCAACGATCCAGTTCGCCCGGGAGCTCCTTGTCACTCTGGGGCCCTTAACGGGGCTGCCAAAGAACAGGCATCCAGAAGATAATTCCTCTAGCCACCACTGAAGAAGCCTCTGCATACGGAAGAGATACAGCCCACATGGGCACCATGAAATGCAGGGTTGAAGCCAGAAAATCCAGATCCCACTGTCCTTAGTTTCAAAGCTGCAAAAGAAGGGTTTACAAAAGTAGGACAGAAAAAAATGGGGATCTGTACCTCCTAAATGGGTTGCCCTGGTTCTGAGAAAATGAAGCACTGGGGGAGCATCATGAAGCATCGGGGGACAGGGCTCCTAAGAGGAAATATTCCGGAGCCCTTGCCTCATTTTTTTCTCACTGTCTTTTCCATAGTTTTCTCTTCCCCCTCTTTGGCAGTGATAGTGTTTTCACTGGCTGAATGACAAGCCAGAAGTCCAACAGGTACACTCTTGCCTGGCACAGAAATGCTTCTTCTACGAGGAAATGTCTCCTGTTGAATGCAAGCCTGCCAAAGAACTGCTAAAAGCACACAAGAGCACAGTGGTTTCTATCTGCTGAGTCAATGCAGCATGATAGATGTCAATGCTTAAATACTACTTAAACAGTAAAAAGAGGTGTGGTCCCATTCTTCCCAAGGATTTTAAAGCCCGCTTTCTCTTTACAGATAGACTTTTAAAATACAGGTGCTTTTTGAGCATACCCAGAGGTGGTCTTTTACACCCCATCCAAGTTTTGAAAACTTTTTTTTTAAAGCCCAAGTCCAAGAATCCCCCAGGTTTCATGGCTGTGCTGACCAGGAGATTCTGGGAGTTTTGATCCAGAAAGCAACTTTTCCAAGTTCTGTCCCACCCGCACGCACTACATCCCACCAAAACTTCTCCCAAATGCTTGTTGGAGTCTTGCCAACATCATTTTTAAATGACAATAAAGCGTAAGGAACCAAGTTATATACAGTATAGCCTGCCATATGCTTGTCAGCTTCTTTTCACTGCTAAGATCCCAAACCAGCAGCAAAAACAGGTTTTAGTGAGTCTACGGTGGGCCAATCAGCCAACAAATCATGCTGGACTTTGTCTGGCTCATTGTTAATCAACATAGTGTAGTAGTTAGGAGTGCTTGACTAGCCTTTGGGAGATGCAGGCTCAAGTCCCCATAAAGCTATGAAACTCCCTTGGGCCAGGATAAAGTGAGGGAAGGGACATGTACATCATCTTGAGGTCACTGGAGGGAAAGTGGGAAGCCCATGTCTTCTCCTGTGCCCAAAGATGTGGACTCCGGTCCACAGAGCTCTTATTAAATAAACCTGTCAATCTTAAAGGTGGCACGAGACTTTTAAAAACTTTTTTTCTTTTGTTAAAGATGCTGAACCAAGTATAGCTACCTCTCTGAAAAAAGTGTAATACTGTATTAAATATTTGTGGCTCATAAGGCTGTAGTCACACACCTAGGCCCTGACCTAGAATCAGTGTGCTGGAATTTCAAAGCAAACAATGATAATAATGACATTAATAACAGCCTGAGTTATGCAACATGTGGTGTGTAGGGTTATATCTTAAGCAGAATCAATTCCTGCTTCCCTTCTGTGCCTGCCACTCCAAATAATCCATGTGTTACCACAGCTGCCTTTGTAATGGGCTAGTGAGCAAGGTCTGTGTTTCTTGATTCTTCCTTCCTCATCTAGTCTGGTCAAGGGGGTCGTTGCGAGGTTGCCGATGAGCCAGGACAGCTCTGCTGACCTCCAATTAGGTGCATGTGGGGGGAGCAGAGTCCCCGTGACATCCTAGTGTATAGCAAAGAAGTAAGATGGGATGGTGAGGACTGCAAGTGAGTGCCACAACTGAGACCACTAGGGAACCAGTTGCCAGTGCTCAAAACCCAACACAGAGTGGGGAGGTAACTCCAGAACAGCTGGCACCCACACAGAAGAGCTGGAAACACATGTTGGCACACTGCACAGCTGCAGCCCAGACCACATGAAGAACCTCCCCAGACTTGGCTCCAGGAGCACACAGTGACACACAAAACCTGCTCTCCTTGTTGCATGGGTTGGGCAGCTTCCTATCCCAGCTGACCCTCTTGACCTAGGAAGGCACTAAATACTCCCTTCCCAAAACAAGGGAATCTGAGCTTTGGACTTCACCAGTTTCCAGACTCCCCTGTGCAAAAAACCCTCCTTTTCGGACCATTTTATATCTCCACAGCTGCAACAGAACCCAAGTCCTGCCTGTGTCTTCTCCCACAGCTCTAAGTTAATTCCTCTCCCCGAGATGCAAATCCACCTGTTCTAAGCTGATGACCCTTCTATTCTGACCCGATAAATAAAACCAGTACATACCATATACATCTCCCAGGCATCCAAGCTCACTCTTCTGCAACTCTCAGCTCCCAAATCCCCTGCCCTTATAGAAAAAGAGGGGCCTGGAGACCTGACAACATGCTTGCCCACAAGAATAGCCCCCTGCACCCTATGCCACCACACTCTGGACTGACAATCTAGGAGTTCCTGACGTACCTTCCCAGAAATCAATCCTCTACATCACAAGATAATTCTGGCACATCCTGCTCTCCACACACCCCTTCCCATGTACACAACCTCAGCGAGCCTTGACTTTCAAGCTCCACCTCCATGCTTCTGCCTGCTGCAACTTACTGTCTTTGTAGAAATGGGATCTGAATCCAGCGGCATTGGGTGGGTGGGCAGGCTGTCTGTCTGACACATACTTACACATGCTATAACCACTTTTCCCATTCACCGCACGCCTTTCCAAGAGAATCCAGGAATCCCAGCTGAGCAAATCCCACTTCCCCAATTCTGCTCTCCCCCCACCCCACAATCTGCTTAATCCCTTCTCTGGAGCAGAAGGCAACCATTCCTCCCCGACCAATCCCTTCCCCATCAGCCGCCCAACCTTCTCCAGTCCCTCAATCTCTCCCTCCTCCAACCTGCCAGACCCCCCCCCCC